GTCCGAGTCCACGGTGCCCATGGTTCTGATTACTGGTTGGTCCGGCGCTGGTAAGACGACGGCCGGCAACTACTTGGAGCTGCCTGGAAAAGTATGGAGAAGTGCTGGGTCAGATGTTTTGCATCTTGAAGTTGGGGACGCGTCACTACTGGATTGGTCCAGCTTGCCCAGGTTGGTGCATGGTTGGAAGCACCTGGATGGGGACAACATCATGCACCGCAAGGATGCGGAGAGCCTCAAACTCACCGAAGGATTGGCTCTTTGGCATACTGAAACCAGTCTGGGCCTGGCAATACCCTCCATGTCAAAGGTCCATGAGGGGGCATTTTGACGCCAGATTCTATTTCAGAGTCAGCTGTGGGAGGGGACTATGTAGTTACATATGGATACACAAGGCATCAGGGGATCTTACACTCACTTGGGTCGATTTTTTTTGGAAGTGAGAGCCACGTAGAGCAACCGCATAAGCGCATTCTCTCCTTCAGAAGCCTTTTGGTCCGACCTAGAAATGCAGCAAGGTGCTCCCAGACTTGGTCAAAGGGAACACTGGCAAGACACCTCCCTTTTTAGTACAACAACATTGTCTCATATTTTCAATGAACTTCCCCCTGAACCCTAGAGATCTCAAGGAAAACTCCTGGACGCCTCTTGGTGATTCTGATGCACAGCTGAGACGACCTCTTTCTACAGCTATTGGTTCAAGAACCTCTCAGCACCTCCCGAGCTCTGGAAGCCCTACTTGGACGCGCTGATGCAGCAGTGTCTGGAACAGAGGCAGATTCTGACATCATGAGGATCACCTCAGGCCATCGTAGCTATTGTATATATATATATATCTATTTGTTCAATTGCCTTCTGGTAATAAACATGGCAATGGACTAAAAAAACACTGACCCCCACCCGCTGATATTCTATTTGACATATATTCTGACAGTTTATTTGACATATGTTCCAACATAATATGTTCCAACATAATATGTTCTGGCATTCAATTCTATCTGACATATATTCTCACCGTCAATCCTGACATTCTACCTGACATTCTATTTCTTATATTCCGGATTATTCTGGCAGTTTTCCTTTTTGAGACTTGGTTATTCTTACACTTTCTTATCTGGCGATCTGACACAGTGTTCGGGAGCTCGCCAGACATCCCTATAATAGATCTATTGGAAACGATGGTTTCAATGGTAACGCTATAAACCAAGCCACATTTCCATTGAAAGCCTGGAATTCGGCATTTTCGATCGTCCTTGGAATAATTAATAATGTATTGTTTGGATGGGCGCTCAAAAGCCAAAATCGAATGGAGCAAGAACCAAAACTGCTTAGTGGTCTAAAACTTTATCTTTTTTTTTCTCCCCTTTCGACGACATGGACATGGCAGACATGGGATGATTTTAGGTGACATATGAGGGTTTCCATAAATGGGGGTACCCCTAAATCATCCACTTTAATTTGATTTTCCCTTATAAACCATCCATTTTGGGGTACCCCCATTCATGGAAACCCCCATATGGTGACATTCATCTTTTTTCGTCTCCATGAGTCAACCAGCCGCCAGGGCCACCGCGGCTGGGCTGGCGGTGACCTTCAGCGTGTACCGCCGCAAGGCACGGGAGTACCTGCGGCAGCTGGTGCCGGCCGCGCGGATCAAGACGGGAGGGCTGGGGAATCCCCAGAATGGAAGAGATATGGCTATATTTTAGGGGGATGATGATGTTAATATATGTTAATAGCTATAACTAGATACTATTTTTAGATGAACATCCATGTGCCAGCTATTTTGATGTGAGCAGAAGGGGTACAAGCTTTTGACCCATCACCCATATATCAATGTACGAAAATCTTACATGATTGTTAATGATTGATGAGAACACTTAATGTGGACAATAAATAGTATATGAACAATCCAGATGGGAAACATTAAGTATGATCTAGTATTCAAATCTACATTCATATTCATGTATAGTTAGTTGTACGAAGACAATGATGATGATGATGATGATGACGATGACGATGACGATGACGATGATGATGATGATAATGATGATGATGATGATTCTATGATATTCTATGTTTGTATTTATATCCGTTTGCGATTCTGATATTGCCATTTGAGATTGGACATCTTCCGGCAACTTCCCATATGTATGATGGGAAAAACTGACCGGCCGGCGAGGGACTTTGCATTGCCATCTTTGGTGGACATGTTTAGCGGGACAGCAACAGTCCCAACTCGGACATGATGAGATCATACAGAATGGTTTTGTTGTTTAAATGTTTGTCCGTATAGTTTCCCCCATCTCTTGTCTACTCTCATTTTTTTTCTCCTCGGAGTGGGACCACACTATACCCAATGGGTTCTTCTGATTTGATTTTTTTAAAATCAAATAGTTAAACTGAACAACCATGATGACCATAACGACCAGGACAAAAACAAAGGCGGGATTGTTGACAACCCGCCAAATCGAGAATTTTACATGATGTCAACGGGTGACAACTTGATGTTATTAGACATTTTTGGGTGCCAGTCAAATGAGTACTTCAGCCAGCTCCATGGGGCCTGGGGCCACTTAATTGGAATCCTTTGAACTTTGAACCATTCATCTTGGCAGCGGTCAGGGCTGATCTGGAACTCACGTGTTTTTTTTTCTCCCACGCACTTTTCACCATTTTGATTTTCCACTCTTCTACACAGTGCAAGTGTGGTGGATCAGATAAAGAGAAACTATGTCAAAGACTCAAGGCAAACAAATGTAAACAATAACTTTGCTACAGTGCGGATTAACTCAACAACGATTCGGAAGTTCAGGGTCATACAGTCATACAATGTCATACACGGATGGAGTAACACTGGTGGTTATATGCCTTAGATGGTTTCAATAGTTGATAATATGGTGTGGTTTCATACTTCGTGGTTGTTCAATGTTGTTTAGTTCGGATAATACTTTCTACCCAGTGTACCCTATCAACCGTGGCAATGGAACAAATAATATCACAATTATCACATCATTCCCATTTGAAAACCTCCATTTACAGGATTTATAAGGGGTTTCCAATGATCTTCCCATGATTTTTCCAATCTCTTTCCATGGTTTTCGCCGGGGATTTCCACTTAAAAAGCGCGAGCTGAGGACCTCCGCATCCTGCGCCTGGACTGTGATCCTGAGGCAGGTAACAATAAATAGATAGATCCAATACACACACACATACTATTGGTGGTTCAATACAGTTGATACGGTTAATATATGTGTAAATGGATAGATTCCATATCCAGTCAGTTAAATCATGTTGAATATACTTTTTGGTGGTTTGGAACCTTTTTTAATTTTTCCCATAATATATGGGAATAATCATCCCAACTGACTTTCATATACCCTTCAAGAAGGGGTTGAAACCACCAACCAGTATACATATGTAATGTCTTGATAAATGCATGTATCTTTATGAATATGTATGCTATTTTTTTTGATTATATTATATTAATATATATATTAATATATATACATAGCTATACTACTATACTCTTACCTTGCAATGAAATCCAGTTGTGTCCCAGCAATCAGGTTGCTCTTTTGCACTTTTTCCAATCATTCAAAGAACAAAGTCAGAAATCATCAGGTCCGACCCCATCGCTTCCAATGACCGCTTGGCTTTAAAAGGTGGTCATCTGCGGAGCGTTGGAGAGACTGGAGACCTACCTCCGAAACAAGAATAAGACCGTGCCTCGCCACTGCAATGCTGCCAGGGAAACATCACCTGCTGATGGTTTCCTCAGGTTCCTATTTTTCAAGAACGGTCGTTGATTCCAGGGGATGCACCTCAGGTGAAAAATCGCGCAATTTTTTTTGGATGACGGTTCCTGATTATCCCAGTAGCTTCCCAGCTAGTAGGTTCCCAGCTTCCCGGGCTTTTCCAACCATGGTGCCATGGTGGCATCCCCTCACTGGAACCAACTTCGAAGTCACTGGTACCACTGAAAGGGGGTCATGTGAGGTGCAAGACTGGTGGCGGGAAGCCAAGAAAGACGAGATCTACGGCGTGCCTTTGCCCCTGTCATAGGTCTAAGATTTCCAAACCACCATTTGAGGTCTAAAATCCTCTAAAACTATTGGCAAATTGGCATTGTTAGATATTTTTGCCGCCGGGGCGGCCAATATTACATAGAATTTACTGTAGAGATTAAGACTTGTGATGAATTTTGCATTTATGTGCCCAGATTACGGTGATCCCTGACAAAATCTACTCTTCCACGATTGCAGGTGAAGTTTGCAATCAAATCAGCTGAGGAGTACAGTTACGAAAGCTACACCAAGATGCAGATGACAGAGTGCCCCGCAGCAAGCAGTTCAGAATCCGCCAAATTGTTTCATGTGGGTATGTGATGGTATGTGCATATCCCATCATATCCCTTCTTTTCGGATCAGCTATGGATAAGCCATGGCGCCGTGGCCGCAGCTCTGGAGTCAAATCTGCAGACCATCAACAGATCCTCCAAGTTCTGCAGTTGCTGGAGATGTCCCATCCTGCCCGAAGTTGGACCTTGGGTTTGAGGCAGAAATCCAGGCGAAACATTTGGCCTCCTTCCGGTACCCCTTGTTGGTGGGTTTTGGTTTTGGTTCCTCAACCCTCAGATTTTCCATCTATGGTACATCTACTGCATCTAGCATTATCATCCGTTATCTACCCTCCCAAATGTCCCAGTCAAGTGAAAAAGAACAGCAGCGCACTAGGAATATCTATGAATGGCATTGGAATTCTCGCAACATTGAATCACATTAAATTTTCATTAAATCATATATTAAATCCAAATTTGGATGGTAAGCATATGTTTCCCACAAAGAGTGACCAATGGCCTCCCCGAAATTCTGAACCCCCAAAAAAAATCAATGTCTGGTACTGTACGACATCCAAAGGCCTGAGATGACCTGAGTTTCCTCCAATCTGAGCCATGTCAGGTACCTTTCGGGCATGGAGCCCTTCGACCCCTCCGAGCCGGGCTGCAGCTGCTGTGATGTGACCCAGCGGGGAACCCAGGGCCTGGATGCCATCGCTGATGCTCTGCGCTTGAAGCGCCAGGCGGGGTCGGAGATTCGGGGTGCTCTGATTGATGGTGGAATTTCCACCAAAATCGGCAATGAATTGGTGGACTTTGAGCCCCCTGTTTGCACGGGAACATGTGAGACACCAGTCGGCTTAGGAAGATGGTGGAATATGGATGAATATGGGGAACTTTAGCCATCAAACCACGGATAGATATGGATAGTGGACCATCGAACATGGGGGGTTTAACAGTGAAATATGGGGAGTACACCATGAAACATAGGGGGGATTAACCATAAATGACCAGGAATTCACCACAATTGAATAAACCTTTCGATCATTTTTGGTGGGGACCTTAATGCTAAGACTCCCTGTATTTCCATTTTGCTGGCAGTTTCTGGCCCCTTGTTGCTGGCCCCTTTAGCCGGATTGAATTTTGGTAGGTTTTAATGCGCAGTGTGACTGAAGTTCAAAATCCATCCCAACCATCGATTTCCTAGTAATTAAAGGAACATCCAACCATTTCTGTCTTTTATTTGGGCAAAAAATACCAGATGATCATCCAGAAGTATCCATACCGCACTAAGGATTGCAATCCCTCAATTCACTCTATATGTGCCATGGTCAAAAGGCTACTTTATGCTACTTTCACATAAGTTCGGTGATGGTCACTCCCCATTTTCAGAGAGGTTTTTATATAGTTATTATATAGTTTTTTTTTTTAAAAATGTATATTATAGTCCCAGAGTTGGTGGAACGGATAATTTTCAGGACCCAGAATGTTGAGGTCAAACCAATCATAGGACTTTTCCTTAAACCCATCTAAAATCCACACAATCATATATAATTACCATCTGGCTATTTAACATAGCAATGGAAAATCTATGATCAATGGAGGTTCATAGCTGGGACAATGATCTATGGGCCATCTATACCATAGCTATGTTAGTCATAACCAGAGGGTATAAGCCATGACAGGACTTCCGTGATGGGATGACCAACTTGACCAGGCGGTGGACCTTCAGGGGCTTAAGGACCTGGAGCGGCGACGTTTGGCGGAGCTGGCCCAAATGCACTCGGAGGCTGCGAGGCGCGATCCATAGCCATGTGGAAATATGGAGATGAAGCGCCCGTTTCCATGGATAGATTTCCACAAACCCAAACCCAAACAAACCCATATTTGGATATATTTTCCATGGATAGGGGTGAACTGAGGTAGAATCCCAAACCCCAAAAATACATCAAAATACCACATTTGCCGGCTATTTTGGCGCCAGGATCATCACAGTACCGGGCTTTTGACACATAAATGTCACGGATGATGCCAAAAGGACCCCCCAGATAATTATGCAATAAGGACATTTCTTGATACACAAACCATATTTGATATCCTCTGATAAGCTAACATAGCCATGGGGAATCATCCTTTTTAATGGCTAAATCAACTATCAATGGCCATTTCAATAGCTATGTTAAATTACCAGTGGGTATACCATTTTGTTTTCACTGTTCCAAATATGAAATGTCTTGGGAGTGCTGAGATGACAGGTGACAGCAGAAAAATGGTGCGAATCCAACCTGGCGCTGAACGTGAAAATGGGTGGCATTCGATCAGGGTGGGACGAACATCAACTCCTTAAGACATCCTAATAAGACAATAGAATCAATAGAAGATGTATGAATAAACATATATTCAAAAAACATTAGCAAATACATAGTTGCAGGCAAGTTGCAGGTTTACTCTTATGCTATGTATACATTATGAGACATCATATGACATCACAATACATCACATAACAAGATCATACGGCATCATATGACCAAAGACTGGTCAGAACAGGAATCATCCGTGAGGAGGTTCAGGTGGATCGGGCATCGGACGCTTCTGGACCCTTTTTAGAAACGACGCACCGTCCTAAAGAGATCGTTGCCATCAAGAAATCCACAGATCCATTTAGCTATTTTTTTGTTCCGAATTTTCATGGCATAAACACCATAAAACACCCAACACTCATAACCCCCACTCATGTACCCCCCAACTGGTCACTCACTGGGAAATGGATGTTTTGTTTTCCCTCCAGGATGATATTGGATTGCCACGCTTAGTGGACTTATGTGGACTTTGTTCTTTCAGATAGTAAACCTCAATGGATGCTGGCAACACAATCATTTTAATGGGCACATCTTCGCAGCCATGTCTGCCACCGGCCAAAAAAAAAGGCGAGCTTTTGGGCAAGGGTTGGAACAAGAAAAAAGGTTGAGAAGTTGTCCTTTCAAGGGTCAGGCGACCACAAGCCTAGGGCAACTAGAGTTCATGTCAGATGGTCTGGCAATAATATGTTGGCTGTGCGCGGCATGTTCAAGCGAATGATCAGTGTGTTCCCTTTCCCAGTTGCGATCTACAAATCATGATTTCCAGCAACAATGCTGTGTGATGATTACTGTATCAGAAAATGGGTCTGGTATGGTGTGGTCATATGTTGTTAGTCAAGTTGCCTTCTTTTCATTCAGTCGCATTCAATCATGTCGAGTTATGCGCAAATTTTGGTGAGACCATCCTCTCCTTGATTCCAATGAAAGCGGATGGTATCGGATGGTGTGACATACATACTCTGTCCGCCAGGGCCTGTTGAACTGTCTCGGGTGGAGTGCCATAGGCGCTCAGGGGTGCCCGGCTAGGGATGGTTTCTGGGGAAAGCATGGGAAAGACATGGAAAGAACATGAAGGAACCCAAGAATTTACCAAGTGTGACTCAGCAGGATCACTACGATTTGGTCTCTCTATGAAAGTGAACCACACGGACGCACCCAGACGTAACATGGATCGGAGCATGCTAGTTGCAACTTCCTGCAGCTTTTTGACACTTATGAATGCCGAGCACAGAAAGAAAACATGCAAGCAGCATGGATTTACATCTCAATATAAACCTTTTAAATCCTTTCAATGCTTCTTGAGAATCTGGTTCCGAAAAGGATGCATTCTTTGAAGTTCCTCTTCGCTTGAGCAGCACAGCCTACATCTTCCATTCGGTGACCAGATGTTGACTTGACATGTTTCTCGTCCAAGGCCGTACGCACAGTACGGGTTTGGACCACCGCTCACAGAGTTTTTGCTGCAGAGGTTTCCGCTTGACGGCTGGAGTTTACCATCACATACTGTATCAGGTATATCATCAGCCTCTGGTGACATTGAATCCGATGGTTGAAGCAGATGTTCTTCCGTTTCAGATCGTTTCAGACCTTTCACCACGAATTCTGGGGCCCAGTCCCTCGACTCCAGCGGCTGCCATGGGGCATGAGCTGGGCAATGAGCTGTTTGCCGTGGCATCTTGGCTGGGCTGACCTTAAGCTGGCTGGGAAATCCCCGAACTAAATGGATGTTTCAGTGGAACATCATCCATTAATGATTGCCACGTTTGATTACCGGAGGGTCAGTTTATTCTTTTTGGAAACGAATCTTGGAAGTGCAATACCCACGAATAAATCTGTTGGCTAGGAATCTTTGAATGCAATGAATAGCTGGAAAAAAGATAGTGCAGATCCAAGATTGGCCATGGGGTAGAGATAAGAAGCGTGCATAGCATGTGTGGGTGCTTGGAGTAGAGAAGATATTTGGATGAACATTTTGCCCCCATGAAAGTTCATGAAAGATAGGTGCTTGCAGGATGTATGGAAGGCCAACATTTGTCCACAACCGGCTTGGAAAAGAAGTCCCACTCGGCTACTGAAGCTTTAGAGACGAATTGCATGCTGTCAACGTTCCACAAGTGCAACTCACAAACAGCATGCAACCATGATAGAAGCCTGCCAGACCCTGGTAGCACACTACCATCAGACAACCAGGAGTCGAAGCGCATCAAGAATTCACATCTTTCAAAGCTGGGATGGGACGGGATGTGTGAGAACCATTGAGAACCTATGATTTGCATATGAACGAGGGATGCTAAACATCCAGACTCCAGTTCTACCGGCCATGTTGATATGAAACCATGGCTGATCCATACTGGATGAATGTCCAAATCTTATAGTCTTCACGGAATGCTTAAAAAATAACAGGACTCAGGACCTATCCGGACCTATCCACTTGGAACATGAATCGCAACTCCCAGAATTGGATGGGAAAGTTTGTGAGGAAATCCCAGTGACTTAGTGATACTTTTCAGACATCTAAAGACCATGGTTTCCTGTGATGACTTCACCCAGAAGTATCCAGAAGTATCCAGAAGTCATCGAAGCGGGACTCAAGGTGGAGCAGGTGCAACCAGAGTTGGCGCCCAAGCTGACCGGGATGCTGCTGCAGCTGGGGGAAGATGAATGCTGGGCATGTCCCTTGGATGCCTTGGATCCGGCACCGGCGCCGGTTGCCTCAAAAGTGGCAAGATGGGAAATCCCCGAACTAAATGAAGTGAAATGAAGGTTTTTTATGGGAAAATCATCTAGAAATAGGGAAATTATGTATGATAACCGGTGTTTAAAATGAACCGGCAAACTGGGAACCACAGATAAGGCAGACCTGGTCTGAAGGCAATGGAGAGAGACAGAGATGAAAGAGCAACCTTTCAGTAATTAGTGAACCCCACCATTTTGGGGAACACAGTTCTCATCCTAGGTTCAAGTGACACAGCCTGAAGATCTGCTTAGAGGGTGATGACAGGCCCTAATGAAACATCACTCAGCCATGGGGGATGGCATGATGTTCACAATCCGAAACTAGTACTATTTCTATTGATCCCCAGTTCAAAAAGATAGAGAAATTGAATACTACAAACATAGTGAGGAACTGTGGAGAATTTCACGTGTTGCATCTTGAAGCAACCGTCAATGGGTGGTTTGGTGGTACTCCCCAAGCTGCCCAGTGGTGTAAGGCCTTGAGGACCACGAAAAGCTGGCAGAGCGTTTGGATGAGGATCTTTGGGACGAAGGGGGAGCTCGAAGTGGGATTCTGAAAAATCTTTGGAAACACCGCCGCACCGGTGACACCAATGGTAGAATGGTAGCTAGTTGTTGGTTGTTTTTTTTCTTAGCCCAAAAACAACATCAACCCTAATAGGTCGGGGGGTCACCGTGATCACTCCCCACCGAATGGACTATTCCAGTTATACCCTCGTTATATCACCACTTAATATGCATTGGTTATACTTTAGAATATATTATATACCATCATTAAAAACACAATATTCCCATCAGCACATATATAATCTATACATACATCCCGTTAGTATCCATCATTAACGGGATAGATATATTCCCCAGATTTCCCCAGTTGTTACATGCCTTTTTTTTGGTGGCGTCCATGAGGCCATGGCCATCCTGGACGGCGTTCATGCTGAGGTGATGCTTTCAGGATTTCTTGGAGGGTGTCTCTAAGGACTCGTGAATCATGGGTGGTTTGACTATGTCTATGTTGTGAATATGTTTGATGTCCCTTGGGAAGGGAATCCCCCAGCAGGTTATGTTTCTAACCTGCCGAAAACCGCTCTTTGGTTCGTTTCGATTACCACAAGGTGACCGTCTGGTTGCGGGACGGCTTCCGTCCAAAGCTACCGGGAAGCATGGGGCGGTTCCTAACAAGGTCTGAGACATCGATGAAGTTTCATGGAATGTATAGGGACCTCCAATGATGGGACCCATATTTCCATATGCTTCCCATACTCTTGGGGATTCATATGGGAGTAGTATGGGAGGCGACCATGGGGCCCTGGGAGTCCCATCATTAGTCTCAAACAAAAGCTGAGGCACTTCCCTGCAGTTGGCAGGTTATACATCCGATGATATCCCACATCCCCCATGATATCCCCCATGATATCCCCCATGATATATATCCCCCATGATATCCCCCATGATATCCCCCATGATATCCCCCATGATATCCCCCATGATATCCCACATACATCAACATCATCATCATCATCATCATTATCATCATCATCATCATCATCATCATCACCTTCATGTATAATATATATATATATATATCTATCTATATTTCCCCATGATATATCATCATTTCAGACCGGGTGTCACCCCGGGGACTCCGCCAGGCCGGGCCCTCCGTGCCACGGCCGGCCGAGACGCGGGTGGATCCCGAGGATGGCGTGGCCAGGCGCGAACCACCAAGGTCCATGGGGTACCATGGTGTGTAATCATGGGAATATAATGGGGATATATGGAGATATGGAAGTTTCCCAAGTCATGGATAATTAATGATAATGAGTTGATTTGGGGGTACCCCCAAATCAAGTCATTAGCGAGCATTTTAGTATAGCTAACGCCTTGATGATTGAGTGTCTCAACATGCCGCATACCCCCAAATGGCTATTCTACTCGGGAAATGATAATTAGGCCCATGGTTTTGGGTGGATTTGGGGTAAAGGATTTTCAGACATGTGGCCAATGTGTTCACATCCGTTCGTGACTTGGATGAGTTGGGGCCGGGGTAACCCTTTCATGATAAACGCCTTTTTTTGAGTTGTGGTATAAGTATATAGAAGTTATACAAGGGCCATTCCTTTATCATGCGGGTGATGCATTAAACCAATTCAAAAGGTGTACTGTAGTTTACCACATCTAGAGGAGTGATCCCCCAAAAAATTATCATGACTTGCCCAGAACCATGCGATCATCATTGTGCTTTCCCAAAAGATCCAGAAGTCCGAAATTCTTCGGTTCACCGATTCCTCACCCTTCATCGCAGCATAGTCTTATAGCGCTGTTTGTCACTGACTCATCTCCATTGTTTTTCAGATTTTCTCAACCATCCAGGTGCCACAGCATTGAACACCACCCTGCTTCAGGACCTTTCAAGAGCTTCAGAAGCGATATGCTGGTCAGTACTCCTCGCAGGAAATCAAGGACCTTCCTTAAGGGGAGCTGGTGACGCCAAACATGGTGGTGTGAGATCTTCGTCGTTAGAATAATCCTTCATTGGTGGTGTCAAACTGGTACCTCGTTTTGAACAATCTGGATGAGTTAGACGTGCAGGACCAATTGCATTGAGTATTGCGTTGGAATGTATCCAAAGTGATCCAATCATCATTTTCCCCATCTGGTGCGCAAAAACACCTTGGAGATCCTTAGAGCTTTTCTATGACGTTGACATCCTGATGCCAGGAGTACTGGGACCACTGCAAGGCCGCAGCCAAGGCGCCTGCGGCCAAGGTCGCGGCCAAGGCTGGTCCTCAGGCCCCAAAAGCGGCGCCGACGCGGGCAAAGGCACCCGAGCCGGCAAAGGCCCTGGGGTGACAGGTACCGGGCTGGTGACTTTTGAGGTGGTAAAATGTGATAAACACATATAAACATCAGAAACATTGAATTCGAATGGGAGTATGGTGGTTGTGGTTGTGTCTGTGTCTGTTGTTGCTGCATTTTTTGAAGAGAGGAATGGGTTTTAAGACTTTAAGATTTCTTTCGATTTCCCTTTGAATGATGAGATTGGATATACTGCACACACACACACATATATATATAGAAACGGGACATGTTCTTGGTTGATGATGGTTGATTTGCGGGTTGGTCTACCTCATATCATCGTGATGATGGTCATGCTGGTCATGCTCTTTGTGCTCTCTATGCTCATTGGTTAATTCGCCTAGGCAGCGTCAGCCAAAGCACCAGCGAAGGCGCCAGCTCAGGTGCCAGCTTCGCCAGCAAAGGCGCCAACAAAGGCGCCAGCAAAGGCGCCAACAAAGGCACCAGCAAAGGCGCCAGCAAAGGCGCCAACAAAGGCCGCACCAGTCAAGGCTATGGGCAGGGGGCCTGCCTTTCCCAAAAAGAACAATCACGTTCTCGGACTTTTAGGTGATGGTAGAAAGTTGCGGCCGAAGGCTGGTTGATTGCGGTGAAATAACTAGTTTGGCCTGTTTGAGGACAACAGCCACAGACTCCCACAGAAAACCATGGTTTCACAAGCCAAAGACTTGTTTTTTTCATGTTTTTTTCGGCACAAAGAGTTTTTTGGGAACCACTACTTCTGGGACAACCCTGATATAACTTGACTTAACCATGGTTCATTGGCCACTGCAGGAACCTAAATTGGAGGTACCTAATTACCATATATAAGGCCTATATTCAAGGCCTAAATTTCAGGGAATATCCCAGCAAAATATGGCCAGAAATATGGTACAGTAGTACAGTACCTCCATCTGTTGGATGCTGAAATTCCCATTGAATGGTTCTCCGCACTTTTCAGCTGGAAAACCGGGCCGGGTGAGTTGCCATGTCGCCCAGGAGGTCATCCCCAGACTTCGCGCCTGGCTGGCCAAGCTCCAGTGGCCCTGATGAAAAATGCTGAGCTTTTGAGGATCCAACTAACTTTGGGATGGCCAAGCACCTAGGGCCACCTAGGGTATCTAAAGTTATACTCTATTTGATTATATTTGATTATGATAGAATCCATGGACAAGTGTACCAGAGTCATATTGTTTATATCATAATTTCACACGTTTATCATGTCTTAGATGGCTCCGCTGCAGTATCAATTGCTTGACTGCTGACTGCCGGCCACCTCCCAGCCAGGTGCACAGCGGTGCACATTTCGGCCATCTTTCGGTATGAATCAAATATGGCCGGAAAACCACCACAATTGAACATATCATATCCATATAACATCATATACCCTCTGGTTATGACTAACAGTTCGCCATGTTTTTTCGATGGCCCTAATCGAAATAGATGGCTTACCTATTAATAGCATGGTGATTTTCCATGGCTATGTTAAATAACCAGTTTTTTTTTTTTGAGAAGACTGATCGTATGTTCAACCAACACATCCTTTTTGATAGGATTGTGTTTTGAAACGTCATCGCCCTACATCAACTTTGATAAGTTGGTGCCGTGAAACAAATCACAAAAACATACTAATGAGTTTGATTCCAAAAAAAAACATCAACCACCACCACAACAACCACAACCACAACCACAACCACAACCACAACAACAACAACAACAACAACAAGAACAAGAACAAGGCAACAAGGCAACAAGGCAACAAGGCAACAAGGCAACAAGGCAACAACAACAACAACAACAACAACAACCACAACCACAACCACAACCACAACCACAACAACCACAACAACCACAACAACCACAACAACAACAACAACCACCACCACCACCACCACCACCACCACCACCACAACCACAACAACCACAACAACCACAACAACCCCAACAACCCCAACAACCCCAACAACCAAAAACATCCAAAAAACGGCATTGTTTTGAGATTACTGAGTCTCTAAGGTTGGAGCACTACCTGGCAGCGGCTGAGCAGTGGGCCGAAGAGCAGGGAGCCGTGAGCCTGGAGGAGTCAGTCAATGATGGTGGCAGGATGGATGCTGAAAAACCACCAGTGGAAGATGAAGAAATAGCAGGAACAGAATAGTTGTCCTTAACATATTGAAATTTTAAGGAAGATGGATGAAATATAAGGTAAATGCAGTTAGATATGATGAAGGATGATGTCACCTTGATTCAAAATTATTGAACGTGATGGCAAATTATGCTAAGAAAATTCGGAGCACATAGTGCTAAGCACTCCAAAGCCACTGAAAAATGCGTTGGAGTTGTGGAAAAAAGCAGATGAAGATCATCTCTAATTCCATGTGTTCTTCTGAAGGAGCTGGTGGAATTCGGGGAGGATATGGCCAAGGACTGGGTTAACTGGGGGCACCAGTTGAACACAGCCCAGCTTGCCGCTTCCAGGATTTGAAGATGAAGGCGCTGGAACGGAAACGCGTTGCCACTTGGAGCACTGCAGACGGGCTTGGGGCCTGGGGAGGGGGTGCGAAGTCGTTGCAGCAGCTTGATGTTTGGGTGGTTCCCCCTCAGGACTGGAGTACTGAGGCGATATGTTGAAGCGCCTGATACCTAAACCTAAATGATATGAAATGATGGCGGGCCCACCTAATCAAGTAAGGGGAACTGGGGAACCTTTTCATTTTCCGAAAGATCAGAAAGAATGAACATCATCTTCCAGCCCAGGGACTTGTTTCCTGCAATTCTGAGGAAACCTTGGTTTGAGGATGTTTGAGGGTTGATGTGTCGATTTTAAGCCGCATAAAGGGAGGAAGACCGGACAAAAATGAATAGAGTATCCGGCTAGAGTTCATCTCCTTGCAAGGTACCCTCTGGTAAATAAACATAGACCCTGAAAATCACCAATTTTCAATGGAAACTAGTCTTCCAACCAACCCCTATCTGCCAGGGTCTATGTTAATTTACCAGAGGGTATCTAAGGTTACCATAGCTTCGCGGCGTACTTTGATGTATTTTGGCACCTGTTGCATGCTGTTGCGAAACAACATTTGTCCTAGGTCGATCCGGTCGATCCAAGGCACAAACTCAAAACCCAAAAAATGGCGAGTGGAACGGCTCCAAAGTTCTACTAGGACTGTGTTGAGTACCAATACACTAATTGAAAACGAATCAAAGCATATATATATACTGTATTACTGTATATTATATGGTAATTATGTAGAAACTATGTATAGATACATTTGGAAACTGAGGCTTGCATCCATCCGATTCCTGGCCTTTTCCGCCCAGGTGGAGCAGGGCGAAGCTGTTTTCAAAGAGGTGGAAGCGATGCCGGACGAGGTCGCAGAGGTCGCAGGTTGGACCACTGGCAGTGGTGCAATGGGCGGAATGATGATCATCGATATTGGAGGGGGTGCCCTGCTTTCAGACAAATCCCTATAATATGATATACTTACTAGATATATGTAGATATCAGCAATTGTCAGCAGTTATACTGGGGGTATTCAGATGTATCTAGATCTCGTGCGTAGCTGCGGGGCTCATCACTGCAAGAGGCAGGGCTTCATCCTAGGAGTTGTGTCAACGATGGATCACCACTGCCAGACTCCGATCACGACAACGATGACGGCGAGGGCGACGATGGCGACGACGACTTCCACGAGGGGCGCAACGCACAACTGGACACGGAGCGAGACATTGCTGCAGGGAACTCGGTGGGAGCAGCATAACACCAGCAGGCGTTGAGAATAGGTGTGAAAAAGGGCAATCTATAGCCACTAGGAACAATATGGAACAATGATGAACCATAGGATTTAGGGGTATTTTCAGATAGACCCATGGTTGTGGCATGTTATGGTCAAAACCGGGCACCAATAGGCTTGAACATGTTCATTTTTGAGTCTTCAATCATCAAATGTTTTGGGGAAGGTGATTTTGAGCCACTGCCACATTTACTGGCGTAGTCATTCAACAGATGTGCCGGATACATGCACACATTGACAGTGCATGGTGGTGTTGCATGGCGCGCAATGATGCCCCCCATTGTATCTGTTGCAGAAGGGGTTAGACATGTCCAGTGACATCGGGGGACCACAGTATACACCCACTATCCTAGCACTTGAGTGGCGTGAAATAATCCCCACACATACTTGACCCATCATTGCGGCACTTTGGTGCTAACACAGCCATTTTTTGTTGCTCAAACACCCGTAGATATTCCCCCATTGTTTTGATAAAATTACTTCATTCTATTTCGTAGAGTCAACTCCTTGAACCGCTGAAAAAGCCATGAAAAAGCCATGATGTCATGAATGAGCCATGATTTGGTGAAGTTTTATCCTCGTTGGGCATCCCATGGTCCCATGTCCCATGAAACGCCAAGGCCCTGAGCCGCGTCGACGTCGAGCCGCCTGACCCCGAGCCGCCCCGGGCCCGGCCCGCCCCGGCGCGCGCCACGCGCCCGGCGGCGCAGCGGCAACCGGAGCCGCCGGCGCAGCCGGAGCCACGGCGCTTCGCGCGGGGGCAGGGCTTTGGAGGTGCTGAGGGATGGCGGATGGCAAGATGGGGGTACCATGGGGGTACCATGGGGGTACCATGGGGGTACCATGGGTACCTGAAAAATACATTCTGATGATTTCTGATGGAACTACTGTATATGATTAATGAGTTTTTTTTTGGTGACTGAAGCGGGGAAGTAAACATTTGCTATCATTGAAGCATGTTTAGAGCCTGGGTGGATTTTGGCATCCCGGTCCCCCGCCTCAAAACCTCAGGCGAAGAAACCGGCGCCGAGAATGGCGGCTACTACAACAAGAGCTCCAGCACCGGAGAGGAGCTTCCTTGGGACCTGCAGGGTCGTAGATTCCCACATTTTCAGGTGGAAACATCACCTGAGGCAGTGGTGAAATCATGGTGAACCACCACGACGGATCCAAAGTTGGTGGGTTTTCATGCAAAAAAGCAGCTGTTAAATGTTCGGGCACCATACCAGTAGATGCATAGAAATGTTTGTTGGTACCATGGCCTCTTCCAAGACTCAACCTACCCAGACTCACAGGAGAGGCGGATTGATCCGGAAGATGGTAAGGCCAAGACTTTCAAGGTGCGGCAGATAGTTGGGATGTTGGAAAGTTATAGGTGAAACCTGGGAGACCCGAAAACATGCCAAAGTATGGGATAGGTTTGAAGTGGTGTATCATGGTGTATCAGCTGAGAATAGTTAGAATGGAGAGAGATAGCGTGGTTTTCATTGGCTAAGCGGTTTATCATGGTTTATCCCCAAAATTGCCAATGCTTGTGGTCCTCTAGGCTTTTTTACGGCGCCGGTAGTTTTTGCCCGCACCGAAATTTGGAGTTGCAGAATTGCCATTGGCGTGGCCGTCAGTCATCGACTTCATGCTCAGCATCACTTGGGAAACCTCTGGTTGGTTGATAGGAGAAAATTCAAGCTTAAAATGATGAGACATGGAGGACTGCAACCCATGAAGTTTCCTGCAAGTTCTTCATGTCAACACACCTATGATGGGCCTCCCAGATTGTTTGGATATTGTTTGGTAGCCCCTCCATATGCCCCTGAAAATCCCTGAAACTTGGGGCATTACCATTTTTCACACCTATTTTTCAGAGGGGGTTCCAACATGTTCCAACAACACGTGACTCCAGGAGTTGCAGGCTGAGTACACCCATCTCTACAGCCCCCACGAGATCTCCGAGTACTGGAACGAATGCGCCGTCGCCGGCAGCACGGCGAAGCCGGCGCCACCGGCTTCGCCGGCACCCCAAGCGCCCAAGCCGGCGCCGCAAGGGAAGAGCCAACCCTGGGGTGCAGGTGGATCGAAACTTCGATTCTAGTCCTCTCTTATTGTATCTGATTACATAAAAATCAACTATGTAGACACACACACACATATATATATATATATGTATAATATAATATATTATAATATATACATATATAATTATATAATATACATATATTATATATGTATATTTTATATATATATGTGTGTGTGTTATATGTAGATGATATATGTAGATGGTTCTGATAGATCACAACATATGACGTGTTTGGTTGCAAAGGCAGTTTCTTGTGGATGGCATCCAGGGCCGTCCAGTCATCACTGCTGGCGGTCGACAAAAACATGGTGGTGTTGGCGCCGCAGCTTGCCGAAGAACCCAACTCAACTTAACAAAATAAAGAAATGCCCATCCTGGGATTTCGTGAAATTCAGGATTGGCCACATTGAAAACTACCAATTATGAAAATCGTACCCGCAAAATCCCGCAAACTCGAGAGTTCTTCAAGTATGCTCACATTTTTGTATGACAAACTAAATGTTTTGGATTTTCCAGCGTTCGCAGGCCCGTGCTTTCCACAGAATTGACTAAACTATCTTAGCCCAAACATCCTCAAACCATATCAACATATCTAACTTATCTAACCCTTAGGAATAGGTTCAGTGAATAGGTTCTGTCTGATTATTTTTTCATGGTGAACTGCTGACTCGCTCTTCAGGCCCAGGCTCCGGCCGTTGAGCCGCGCTCCATCAGGGTCTGTAGGGAGGGGGCAATTTGTGGGGCTCAGCTCCCCCAAAGTAGATATTTTTATTTTTTTTTGATCTTTTTATTCTTAAGGAATTTCCCTATGAAGTAGGAAGTCACTATAGACTAAGATGATAAGTATCCCTAGCTAACACTTGGTAGTTCACCACTTGGCATCGGCTGTTTCAAGACTCTCAAGGAACTTACAGAAGAGAATATGGGCCATTTGTCACTCCCCTCCCTTCAGCTCGGCGCCGCTCCGGCCCATTAGTCCCAGCCATGTGGGCGCTGCTGATGGAATTGGTTTGTCTGGGGGCTGGCATTCACTGGAAGTTCAATCTGGGAGTGTAACTTGACGACCTGAGACAACTCTGGCCGGAGACAACTGGGGTCCTTAATGTCACCCGATTTGATATGATTCTTTTGGGATAAATCACAAATCATGGACGATTTCTCTTTCCAGACTATGGAGGTAGGATCTTTGTGTGTGAGTTGAGCATGGCACATGAACATGCTGTTTAGGGGCAGTCTTGCAGCCAAATTGCCTCGCTTTGCTTCCCCCAAATATGTCCACATATCCAAGCTCGTTGTTTGTAAGTCACACACTTCAGGACTTGTCACAATTTGTCACAGACAATATGGACATGCCACAATCACCAAGATGAAGCATCTGAATCTGGGGAGTTCGGGCCCCAGCCGAGGCTGTCCCTGGGATTTTACTACTCCAATGAGCGCTCCTTTCTCCATCGCGAGCTAACCGAGATGATCTACTGGGCCCTGATGTATGCCTGGTGTCATGGCAGCCATGGCAACGGCTGTGCCAAGCTGTGAAGCCAAAATGGTTGGCAATTTGGTGATCATTTAAGGTATGTTCTACATGTCCAGATATGGATGGATCATGATGGATCATCATATCTGATTGCGTCGCAACTATTTTATATGGTCATGAAATATGGACATCCCGGATCCTGCACTTGAAGTGGGTACAAAGGCGATAGTTACTAGCGAGGGAAAATAGTTCAGAAAACCATGGCTGTGTTTTTTGTGGGCTGATAATCCATTATAATCCATTTGCGGGTTGGTCATGTTCAACATTTCCTCTAGAGCTCCATCCTTTTACACAAATTAGACAGCCATCCCGGGCGGTCCAACCCACCCATACCAAGTAGGTTTATTGTGGTTTACCATTGGGTTTCCCATTGGGTTTACCACAAAAAACTCCACTTGATCACTGTTTTTCAGCCGAGGTTCGGCTTTATCGTCCTGCACGACCTACCGATCCTGCAACTGGGGTCCTTCAAAACGGTCTTCGGATCGCTCGCGGATTTAATCATTGCACCTTGGCCAACTTGGCCACTGGAGAGGCTGTGGGAGTTGCAGACTTCTGGGTAAATTATAATGACAAAAACAGCGACCTCACAGTAATGATTCAATGATGGCTAATATATAAGGTGATTTGCCCCCGTTTTTGCCTGATTTCAGGTTAGTGAATTATTATGGTTTACCAAGATACGTGGATGATATATATCATCGCAACACCCAAGCAAGATATCCAATCCCAAGGTATCCCAAGGCTTGTCAATCCATCTATGGCGATCCATGAGGGCATTTTGATCGTGCCAAATCCTTGTAGCAAGGGCTCTAACCTGGTAGCTTTATTCATGGGGAGTTTCAATTGCAATGCCTCAGAACGTCTCGCGGGTGGTTGAAGCCACAGTCAGTAGAATCACCGAACAAGTGGTCGGCTGGTGGTCAAGACAATTGCTGGGCTTCATGTCATCACATCATATTCTTGGACTTGGCACTTTAAGCCCTTGGAATCAATATGTGATATGTGTATATAACTCTATATATATATATATATCTCTGTGCGTGGATTGAAGAAACACCCCACAGGAAACCAAGGTTTTGCCGGGGTTTTACTGTTAACCACAAGGGTTTCCCATGGTTTTCCTGCAGAAATTTTCCGACGCCTCGAGGCGTGTGTCTTCAGCCTCTGTGGAATCTGGGCGCATACCACGGCACAGAACGATCGGCTGCAATCCTCCATCCAGGTGCCGGGAAATCAATGAAATGGATTGAAATGGAGGTTTGATAGCTGGATATAGAGAAATCCAATATAAATATGTTTGTTTTTTAAATTAGAAGATTTTCCAGCAAGCCGTGTTCGATTTCTGAGAGTCTCTATGATCATCCGCATGGTGGAAGGTCTTCCGCATCTCCTGGATGTCACCCTACCCCAGTGACCCTCTGGTAATCAACGGTGGCAAAAGGTGGCAATGGACAATCGGATTATCCCCTATAAATGGAGGTTGAAATGGGAAAATCATCTATAAATGGGGGGCTTTCCACTTTTTTGTTATCTCTGTTGGGTGAAGATGGTCCCGGAGTCCCAATTTCTGGAGGAACTAGATCTCCGAATGCTGGTGGACAAGCAGCACGTGGAGACGGGTGCATCACGCTTTACGGTCTACTGTGCCTGGGCGGTCTCAAAGTGGGTAGCGTGGATTCATTCATTCCAATTATCAGAAGCAATGGTATTTTTTCCCGACCAATTATCAGGATTGCTCATTTCCCACATTTTCGAAAGTATTTGTGTTCATATTTTTCAATGGTATCTCTTTCCAACCCGCACCCTCTAGATTGTAGGATATCATTGGCATGGCATGGGCCGGCCTTGTTCTAAACCTTCCCCATTAATTATCCCCTGAGATTGTTGGCGTTGGCCTCGCTTCTTGCCCATAACTTGAAGTGTTTCAGCCAGTTTCAGCCAATTTATTCTTCCGTGGTAGGCATGTTTATTCCCATTTGTTCGGATTTGATCTCAGCTTCTGCTTGAATCACCATTCTTGCCACCAAAGTCACCACTTTAGCTGCTCATGTCACAATGTAACCAGCTGAAATCACCATTGGCCACATGATCGTAATGGCACTTTGTGACAATATGTGGATGTGTGGGTTTGCCATGGTTTGCCGTTTGCCCCTTCCGTGATGGCAGTTTGTGCAGACTTCCCCGCAGTTTCACTAGAGCCAAACAAGTGGGAGTGAAATTCATTCTTGCAGCAGGCAGGTGAGCCCATTTGATCAAGATATTATACAATATCATACATAGGTAGTTTATGGAGTGTTTATGGTAGTTTATATAGTGCTTCAACATCTTTTCTAAACCCTTTAAAAATATCAAAAATGGGGATATGTGCTAAGCAGATACAAAAAATGGCACTGTGTCTAAGAATGCCTAAGACTGGCCATGTGTACCCTCCGGTAGTCAACCATGGCTTGCTGGAAAATATCCTATCTAATTATAGATTATTTAAAAGCTCCATATATCCTCCAATTTATAGTGGATTTCCCTATATTTTCCCATTAACATCTCTGTTCCACCGAAGGCATTCAGAACCTCATCAGCCAACGGAGCACCTCTAGCGGGCAGCTGCAACGGCTGGTAGGCGCGTGTAAACCTCAAGCTTTCAAGGTGATAATCACTGGGCACCCCATTTTAAGATCACATCCCAATGTGTGAATGTGTATGTCAATGGATTGGTTCAAGGGAAAATCTACAGGAAACCATAGATTTTCCCATTAAATATGAGGTTTTCCTGTAAAAATTTCCTTAAGCAAATCCATTGAGTATGAAGCTTAAAATCACCATGGTCCAATGGTAAGACATGACCCTAGGACATCAATGGCATGAGAGGTACCTGAGGTCTGACAGGTACCTCCAACTTAGGGCATCTGAAATTTCCACCGTCAAGGTAGACATTACTTGGGGGATATTCTGTCCCAGACGATATGATTACCAGTATCTTGAAGTACATCCCGGGGTTTATTTGTGTTTGAATCATTTACTTGGTGGGGTTGCACACCACTCTTGGCTACTCCAGGATATGCACTTCGAACGCATTTTTCAATCACTCTTGTATCTTGGAGTGCCAAGCACAACAGTGGCCGTCTTCAGAAATCTGGAAAATTGATTTTGAGTGGAAACTCATCTTCCCAAGATCTCCAAGTTTATTTTGTTTGCGGTGCAGGCAAGCTTTGGGAGATGGCGATGGGCAAAGTTCATTGGCTGGAAGAGGAGGCAGACCCTTGGAGATTATATAAGCTAGGGCCAAGAACGGGGACCTGTTACCCGATGAACATTTTTGGATCAGAATTTCCAAGTTTGGCTGCAGCTTCTTGAACAATGGCTGTCCATGGCTGTCCAAATTGTCCAAGAGACCTCCTGTCACGGGACGCCTTTCGAGTCTCTCAATCCGTGGGGTCCTGACTCCGCGCCAGGTGTTGCAAGCCCTGGAATCATGTTGTCACGGCTCCGACACCTCGCGCCTTGGAAAAAATCCGGCGCCAGGACACTGCAGGATCTTCCAGTTTTGGGTTGCCATTGATACTGGCATATCTAATGTATATATATATTATAGCATTATATAATTACATAGTTATATTATGTTATATTTATACCTATAGATGATTACTATAGATATATCTGAATAAATCTGTATGTGCAGATATTTATATGTAAATATCAAATACTGAGATGTCGATGGAGAGAGAGAGAGAGAGAAATACAAAAAAGCAGAGGGGGATCTCAAGTGCCGGTAGCTAAAGTGCTTATGTGAAGCTTGCGTTTCACTTTTCGTGGGGCTCTCCAGGCATCCCCCAGATGACTTGCTCTACGTCTTGAACTGCTCCGAGGACAGAGTTGTACTTTTTGGCATCCCCATTTTGGTTGAATTCTATGGCAATATTTGACTTGTTTCACACGTATCTACTAAATCTATCCATTTAAATTTTGGATTTAAAGATAGTGATCCCATTGCATCATATTCTTCAATAGACTTGGATGATGGTAATATTTACGGCTTTTCAACATGTTGAACCCCCTAAAGGTAGAGACGAAACCACAGGGAAAAAGGAGTGCTATTTTGGAACATGGGATATACCCCACATCCCCAAACGATCCCAAGTTTTTTCATGGGAACAGGATGATCAACCAACGGACACCGACCCTCCGACCGATTCACAGGTCGACTTGCCTCAGTTCTTGGCCTTGACGAGTCTGGGAACCCAGCGGAGTTTGGGGCAACTGCCTGAAATATCCTGAAGTTCAGTTTGCTTTGGAAATCTTTTGAATCTACTGTGTGAACTTATCCATACTTATCGTCATCCAATCCTGAACATGGCCCAAATGCGTGAAAATCTAGAGGAAGCTGGTCGGTTTTGCTGTGAAATATGGGTAGATTTCGGACAGACTTTTCCATCATTCAATTCCCATCACTGATTTGTGTGCCCCTAAGGCTGTCACAGGACACCAAGCAGATGTATACAGTATACTTACTACAAAAATGTATGTATACTCTTCCATGTACATTCACATGTCTCTATTTGTTTTCAGTTGTGTTCACATGCAATCATATACATCCATATGCTGTAGCCTTTTTCTTCTAATCCTGATATATACATATATATATATATACATATATATAGAGATATACCTACATAAATGTAATATATGTATACATGATATGTACCCTATGGGCCCACAGTGTGTGTGTGTGTGTGTGACCCAGACAGAAAATTGGACCATCTGAGGCAGCGATCAGGTGATCCACTTGATTCGGCGCCACGTGCGGCACATGGACACCGTGACCAAGACACGGCTGGTCGATGCGCTGCAACGGCAGCATGACTTCTATGTGAACCGGCTCCAACAAGAGTTGGTGGTGGAACTGTTAGAGAGCACCACAGGAGACGAGCTACGGATGATGCTGGGCGCGGATTGGTGTTGATTTAGATGTTGGTGTTGCTGTTGGTGGTGTTGTTGTTGTTGTTGTTGTTGTTGTTGTTGTTGTTGTTGTTGTTGTTGTTGTGCATGTTCTTTTTTGGAGTGATGCTGGGAAGATGAGGGTGAATAGATGAGTCCAAAGAGCAGCTGCTGTTTGATGTTGATGTGTGATGCATGTATGAAAATGAATGTATCCGTATGATTATGAATGTATGATTATGAATCATGAATGTGAATGTATGATGATGAATGTATGATGATGAATGTATGGTGATGAATGTATGATGATGAATGTATGATGATGAATGTATGATGATGAATGTATGATGATGATGATGATGATGATGATGATGATGAATATGAGTATGATGTATGATGTATGATGTATCATGTATGATGTATCGTGTATCATGTATGACGTATGATGTATGATGATGATGACGATGATGATGACGATGATGATGATGGTGATGATGATGATGATGATTATGATGATGATGATGATGATGATGATGATGATGATGATGATGATGATGATGGGAATGATGATGATGATGGGAATGATGATGATGATGATGATGATGATGATGATGATTCCAAGACGGTTCTAAGCGATCCAAATTGCGCGGTTCTAAGCGATCCAAATCCCGTGGTTCCAAGCGACCCCGCGACCGCTGCCAATGTCCCTGGTAGAAACCGTGCCAGGGTTGTAGTAGCTGCGTCCATCATTGTAAAAGCCAAATCGTGGCCATAACATGCCATAACTTACTCTGCAATACCACCGCCACCACCAGCAGCACCACCACCCCCCGCATCATCAGCATCATGGTGGTCGTCATCGGCATCGGCATCGGCATCGTCGTCATCATCGTCGTCGTCGTCGTCATCATCATCATCATCATACATTCATCATACATTCATCATACATTCATCCTGCATTCATCCTACATTCATCCTACATTCATCATACATCACACATTCATCACACATTCATCTTCATCTTCATCTTCATCTTCATCATCATCATCATCATCATCATCATCTTCATCATCATCATCAGCATCCGCGTAAACAAATGAGTTGCTTTCTCGCGTGTACAGCCGAGTCGGGTTTTCGCGTGTACAACCGAGGCACCTACCTCACCTGAAATATATACGTATATATATATATACACACGTACATACATATAAAAACAAGGATGCACTTGAGAATGCATGTTTTGTTTTTCCCGGATTTTGGAACTTGTTCAAGAAAAACACAGTAAATCTATGTAAATCTAGTTTCTGCCAAGGTTTTCACGGCATCCAACTAGACACAACCTGATGGAAATTCTAGGGAAATGGCTACCTTGGACCCCTGAGATCTCACCCTCCTACTTTGGAACATCAACGCGGACAACGCAGTCGCACTATTCTCGGCACGTGTTAGCAGTTTGAATAATTTAAACAGCAGGTATTCTCCAAGAAATAGCATGAATGTCTGATGGATGAGTTGCCTCAGAATAAAAAGGTCCAGAATGAGTTGTCCCCACTTGTCCCCTAAACCCACCCCATGTCCCAGCCCCATGTTCCCACTTGTCCCCTGAACCGACCCTAAAGGTCTCATTCCACCATGCTGGTTATAGCAGCCTCAACCATCAGCATCCGGACTGGTGGTTCTGCTGATCCTATTTGTGTGGTTCTAAGTGATGCTTTTTGGTTCTAAGTGATGCTTTTTGGTTCTAAGTGATCCTGTGGTTCTGAGTGATCCCAATCCTTTGGTTCTAAGTTCTAAGTGATCCCCCAACCTCTGGGAGCGATACCCATGTTAGTCGGCTTAGCTGGCTTAGCTCATTTTTGTGAAGCCCTTGATGTCAAATATCTCGTAGTCTGATCTCGTGGCCTATCAGTCAGTGGCCCAGTTTTCTACAGTTTTCTGCTGGACTAGGTCACCTAGGCCCATTAATCACCAAGGATGAAAGACATCTTGGATGAGGGCGGGGATTTCTACAACCTTCACAAGTTGGTGTTTCACGACCTTGATCCTGAGATGCACCTCGGGGCGGGTTTGACCTGGTACCCCCCAAGATCCCCCCAGGAAGGAACTGTTTGGACTACCCTCTGGTAATTTAACATAGCTATTGAAAATGGCCATTTATAGTGGATTTTCCCATTAAAAATTGTGATTTTCCATAGCTATGTTAAATTACCAGAGGGTACTGTCCAGAGTTCACAGAAAATTGATGACGGCTGTTTCCTGAGAAACATGCCTGTTGCATCCATGATGCCTTGGAGTCAGAGATAGTAAGAGTGGCTCTTGCAACGTGGCTATGTCAACTCTTCAACTTTGGGGGACGGGTCAAGATTGAGTCAAGACCTATGAATCGATCTTTGGCTATATTTGGGATGGACATCTGTTTGCCAGCTATTTTGAGGTTCAGTGGAGTACCAACGTTTTGATCCGTAGCCACTTATCCCAATTCCGACTGTTTCCATCACACAATTGGAGGATGGTAACATTTAATCAAATTTACAGGAACCGCCCAGAATCTGCTGCTAGAAACCAATGGTTCAATAATGTTCAATATGTTCAATGGTCGATTTTCTCTTATCCTCCAGTAATCAAACATTGCAATGGGCATTGGCGGCACATCCATTTGGTTCGGGGATTTCCCAGCCAGCCATGTTTGAGCAAACCGGAGGGTAAGGGGTTCTGGCGATCTTCCCTTACATCACAATATACATACGTATATACATATATAATCAATATGTAGGGTTCGGTTCATGATGGTTCAACCGTCGATTTGCCCAAGTTATTCCCAAGAAATCCAGTGGTTTTCCCTATTTTTCCATGGCGGCGAGCTCCAGCAGGTACTCCCGGGCCCTGAATCACATCCAAAAGGAAGGGCAGCACCTGGCAAAGCAGTACGACCAGGGCAAGGCAGGGACCGTTGGGCGGTGAGCGTTGCTGTTTTCTTTGATTTTGTTGACCAAAAAAACACGTGGTGGATTATAGTGCTTAATCAATGTTAATCATGAAAACCTGCATTTTCTTGGTGGTTTCTAGTAGTAAACTCTTCAAAAACTATTAGTGGATCATCTATTTTGATGGTGGTTGAACAGCTGTCACCAAACATCATCTGGAGGTGTGGCGATGCTGGAAGATGCATGTGTGATATTTTTTCCGCACATATATGGTCATTTATTGTCTATTGTCGTGGGGAAAAATGCCACAAATGACAATATATTATTACCTTAAATATATATAAATATATTATGGTATATATAAATATATTAAATATTTATTGTCATATATGGTCAGTTTTCAGTTGGATTTCAGTTGGGTAGTATTTGATGAAATGACCATCTGACCATCCCCTGTCCCCTGTCCCGGGGCCGAGGCACCCATCAAGATCGTCAGTGATGTGGATGACACACTCTACGGGAGCACCTCGGGCAGATTTTGCTTCTGTGGTACCCTCCAGGTAGTGTACAGCTTTGTCATACCTTGTCTATCAATCCCATTGACATCCATTAACTATAGATATATCATGAGAGATCTCAGTCTCCCCAGTTGGCGCATAAGTTATCATAAGTTGGTTCATCATTCCCATTGTCTATATATATATAATATAGTGGTATACAAATTATATTGATATTGATATATATATATATATTTATTTATCATAATATGCCTACCATAAACCATAGACCCTAGTGAAAACCATAGCTTTCAACTTAGCGAACTAACTGGGGCATCACCTTAGAGCTGACTCATTGATCAACCCACAGGTGAATTCTAGTTTCTTCGCCTGCTTTTACAGATGGCATATGTATATGTACACAAACATGCACACACACACATATATAATATGCACATATATATAATGTATACATATATAATATATACATATATAAAATATTACTGTATATAATATACATATAATGTATACATATTTAATATATACATATATAATATACGTATAATAATATATACATATATAACATAATACAATATAATATAGTTTAATATAATATAATATAATATAGCAGCATATAACATATACATATGCATTATACAATATACAATATACAATATACAATACATATATATATATGTGTAATATAGTGTAATATAATACAATATAATTCATATTATTTATAATATATAATATAAATTAGCATAATATAATATAATTCAATATGATATAATATTGTAGAATATACCAACCATATAATAGAATATTTATATATAGTATGTATAAATGCATAAATGTCTATGTTTATACGCTAGCCACTCACCAATTGCCAAATTCAGCAATCATCCCAGTACCCGCAGACATGGGATTGTTACCACGCATGTTAGCATTGAAACTGACCAAGCCTGTGGTTCAGTGGTTTAGCCTTGAATTCAGACCGGCCACTTGGTGTTTTTTGGATCGGCACGGGGAAATGTGGGGGAATTCATTGCCAGCAACATCACCACTTGATGATTTGTGGGTCCAATCCTTCAACATGGCTGTAAGATTGAACATCTTCATGTTCATGGGAATGTTTCTGCCAGGGATATGCCCTACAATGACCTACAAATGCGTAATTGGATGTAATTGCTATGAATTCGTGGGACCTTCAAGGGGCCCTTGCAGATATAGAGAGCTTCACAGCTCGCTACCGGGATGTTTTTCGCCAGCAGCTCGCTAGGTGGTGGCCATTTCCCGGCTGGCTGCGACCATCGATTTCCTGGACATCAGGTGCCGCGCAGCGGTGGCAGTGTGTCAAAACCAATAGTAATTACCCCTGTAGTTCACATCAAAATAGCTGGGATTTATGGATGTGAATAACCCCCTAAAAATGGTATTTTCATAGGTATTGATCCATAGCCAAATAATGCCTCATCCAACAGACATGGTGACCGGTGCTTGCACTTTAGGCAACAAACGTGATCAAATGTGTAAGTTGGAGTCTGAAACGGTTTGACCCAACAAACATACAAACTTTGGGACAAGAAACGAACTGGCAAACAAGACTGAAGCAATTATGGGCTGTGGCTGACATATAAGACCCCCAAAATGGTGAATTGCATGTGACACACGACCATTATGAGTTGTGACACGCGACACTTTGGTTTGGCCCTCGACCCCAATTTTGAGCCATACAGCTCCATCTCTTCCCATGCGATTCGGTTGACTGGCCCTTGTTGATGTTGGAAGGTGCTTGCCATACACATACACCAACTCACCAGGGTGCATAGAAATCCGGGGGTTGCCATTGCACCCCTGACATACACAATAATAACAGAGAGAGAGAGAGAGATACACACACATATATATATAATACACAATCAATATATATCAATCTGTAAACACAACACAACCCGGTGATGGAAAGAACATGTGGATCCCACAGTATTTTTTCACATAGTGAAGATCGCCACTCTTATACAGTTAGAGCAAAGGTAAAACATCTAATAGAAATGAATAGAACATATCGACACTTAGGTAAAACATCTTATACAAAACATATCTATATATATATATAGTTCTATATAGTCTTATATATTTATACAATTCTAAACGCACACACACACATATATATATATACATCTACATATATGTATATATATATATATACATATGTATGTATGCTATCAACAGGGGATTGTCCAGCCATGTTTGAGTCCGGATCGGTCACCAGGTCTACCCCGGTGTGCTGGCCTTGTTTCGGGAGATCACCAACCATCGCAGCAACAAGCAGAGGGAGAAGCCACCCAAGGACTTCCGGTGATCCCCGGACCGCCATGGGTGGCCATGGCAAGTTTCACATGGAGAAAAACCATGAAAAACCCGTGGAAAACCATGGTTTATATGATAAAAAATATGATGCGCATGCTATCAGACAAAGCAAATATCAAATTATCAAGACACTTTGGGAAACTGAGTGCTTTTCAACCGATTTTGCGAAGGAAACGTTTGGATTTGATGCGGGCAAATCACCCAGAAGGTGCACTGGCCATGTGCGCCCCGGTCCTTTCACGTCCACAGGATGAGGAGCAAACTGGCGAGCAGCAGGGCCCTTAGCATCCGGTGTCATCATGGCTGGTATCCCCGAACTGAATATATAAATGGAGGTTTGGATAAGATTGATCAGAACATCATCCAGATCATATTTTCCAGATAAGATTGATAAGAACATCATCCAGAAATGAAGGTTGGATTTTTTATTGCTATGATTACGAGGGAGCAGCTAGCAGCAGCTCCATCTCTGAGGGCCGGCTTCAGCAGTGTCTTCACCCGATTTCTGGGCTACAGGGTGCATGACAGCGCCAATCCTGCCACTTGGCTTGCAAGGCGAAGCCGCCTGGGGTATGGATTTAGGGACCCTGAGGGAGGTGTCTAGGCCCAGGTGGAACTTAAACTAACCGATGTGAAGTTCAGGGACGTTTCTACCATGGTTTACCATCATTTTCTCCCAATGGAAGTTGCCATAATACATTCCCCAGAATCGATTGAAGGAAACCTGTGCAGTGCAGGAAAGCTCTGTATTTGGGTATAACCATTAACATCATCATATAATCATATATAGTTATATATATATATCATCACTAATCCATTGAACACTTGGATGTTTTGTAAATTATCTCCATAAAATGTTTTTGTTTTTTCCCATCGAGGGAGTTGGAGGGTCCTCTAAGGTGTGGATCAGAGTAGGGAGGCGGTGGGAGGAGATTTCCGTGACCGAGACCGAGACGGTGGCACAGCTTCAGGATGCGTTTGGGTCGTGGGTTGTCCACACGGCGGTGGGAGGAACTGGGATACCAACTGGGAATGGTAGGTCGTTTTTTTGGTGAAATCTACGTGAATTAGTTGGAATTGTGACATTTGATATATTTTTACGGGTCTATACATACGCTTTTATACTTGAGCAAATGTGATGGAGATGATGGTGTTGGAAGATCTTTTGAAGAGGGCTGTTCAACAGTTGCCATGGGGACAATACTCAGCCAGCCTCCTCGAGGAGCGTGTCAGAGCACGGGCTTTGGAGGATCAATTGCTCGGTGAGGCGGTGGAAAATCCGTTTTGTTTTTTTCTAGGAAGGGAAGGGATCTGAAGAAATACCCCAAAATGTGGATTGAATTGATCTGCAATTAGTTGTTAATGAACAATAACCATGAACGTATAGTAATGGTCGAGTAGATTATACGACTTCACTGTCACGTGGCTAGAAATGATGTTGGTAAGAGCGACTGTAATGCCAAAAATAGATAAACATAGCATTTTCTCAGGTTGGTGAGGTATGAGTCCACACACTCACACATACACACGCATATGTGTTATATGTATGTATATATATATAATTATATATATATATACACGTATATTTGGACATCTGAAGCACTTAGGAAAAACTGCGTGCCAGAATCCTGACTCCGAAACTTAGAAACGCAGCGCGAGCGCACAAACAACAATGTCAGCACTCAAAAAGACAGCGCAGCTTGGTGTCATGTCAAGACCGCTTACAGTAGATTTTTTTTTTGGGGGGTACACTTAGAAATTTGGAAGAATTTTGAATCATTGATAGATAGATAAATAGATAGATAGACAGACAGATAGATAGATATAGATATAGATAGATAGATAGATAGATAGATAGATAGATATAGATAGATAGAGATAGATAGAATAGATAGATAGATAGATAGATAGATAGATAGATAGATAGATAGATAGATAGATAGATAGATAGATAGATAGATAGATAGATAGATAGATAGATAGATAGATAATATGTATATTTCGACTTCATGGTGTAAGAAATTGGCAGTACAGCAAGATCCAAAGCCGGGGATAGAGACGAGCAACCATGGAGATGCAAGCGGCAAAATGGGATGGAATGGGTGTATGAGCCAACTAGACCCTTGGCTGGTGTTTTCAAAGATGTGTTTCTTCACTTTCCTTGGCTGTTCTTGGGGTGATGGGTTCACAACCGGAAAGTCAACTTTCTTCTCAAAGTTGACACTGTATCGCAGCAGTTCCATTTGGACAACATGTTTCCATGAAATCACAGCTGCTTTCGGAACTTCGACCAGAGAACTGGGCAGGGTGATGTTTCATTCCATCCTCCACAGATACGAGTTTGGTCCAACTTGGCTCCTCGGCGGGTTTTCAGGTGGACTCAGGCGCAGAACTGCTCTCCATAGCTACGTTAGTTTACTGGATATCACCTGAAGCACCGCAAGACTGACAGTTGGAGTGGTCACAAAGCAGCCTCCAGTATATGGTTTTCAAATCCGTTGGTCCCAGTGGGATGTTCCATGATATTCCATGATATTCTTGGCACTGTCCAGTTTGAGTTCCATAGGAACATCCTGAACTCTGACCCCATGTCATGAAGGTTGCTTTCCGATTTGCTGTACCCTCTGGTAAACTAACATAGCTATTGAAAATGGCCCATGTATAGTTGATTTACCTATTATAACTGGTGATTTTCAATAGCTATGTTAAATTACCAGAGGGTATTTGCCGCATGTCTTCCAGTGAATTGCGACGTCTTCCCTTTCCGATGCGTAGCACTGAGGTCTTTTTGTCTGCTCGGCCGCACGCTTACAAGGCTCCGGGGACTCCTTTTCACCCGAGATTCGCCGATGTGTTGGTTGCGTGCTGTAGGCCACCAATTATACCACCTGAAAAAATGGCGGGAAAACTGAATCATCCTGAATAAAAAAAGGTGCCTTGCCTTGCCCTAATGAGTCTTACTGGACTTGTACCCCGGTTTGGAGGTTGTTGATGGCAGATGGCAGGACTATTTGGAAAGCAAGTCCTATAAACTCTTCCGCAGATTACGCAAGTCTGGCAAATTGCACCCTGGTCTTCGGGGAGGGGTTGGGTCCGGTCCATTGGAATCTGTGGAACTTGGAGGACCATCAAATTGGATCATTGGTTGATACGTGTGGTGATAGCATATGATAGCATGTGATAGCCGGGTTTCGTTTGGTTCTCGGATGATAATTACCAGCAAGGACCTAAACGCACCTGAATGATGAGGTCTGAAAGCCTGAACGAAAAAAACATATTGGAATGCTTAAATGCTGCGGGAAAATAACAGGGCGGAGATGGGTGGAGATGTTTAATATGACATACATACATACATACAGACAGACATACAGACAGACATACAGACAGACATACAGACATACATACATTCATTCATTCATTACATACATTACATACATACGTACGTACGTGCGTACGTACGTACATACATACATACCTAATATATATATATATATAGATAGATATAATATAGATATAACATGATATAACATATTTATGCAACTATCTATGCATATTATACAATATTACGCATTATAATAATTATATATATATATATGGAATTCATACTATCATTTAAACAATGAGTTCCTTCTGAAACGACCACCACCCGCAGTTTTTGGCTTCAAAAAAGATCTCGCCGCTGCGCCGCTGCGCTCCAGCGAAAGCGGGGATCATGGCACTAGTACCATGGCCCGAGAGCAAAGCTGAGAAGAGTACCGAGCAGCTAGCAGTGTTTGAGGCCTCACTGGGGAACGAAGAACCGTGGTTTAGTTTAACCACCCATCTTCAATAATAGGAGAAGAATGGAAATTCAGAAATTCAATTGCAAATCATTGCAATTCATCTAATGAATATTTCTAGATTTTACATGGGGAACACCATATAAACCTCAATAAAATCATCTATAAATCTGCGAATTGGGGAATGTTCCATTGCCAGACTTTTTTACAAGATCATATGTGTTAAGCTAAACGTGAGGTTGCGACGGTTGCGATTCATAATGCGGGTGACCAATCTGTTGTGGTTGGGAAATGTTGGGAAGCAGAGTCCCCCTGAGCGGTTAGCGCTTAGGAGGAATATGGAGGAATGAATAGGAATGATGCAAGCCAATCATTTCGATCATTTCTGGGCCATGTGAGCACTATATGTATCTATATGTACTATTTCTATCTATTTCAGTGGACGGCTGGTTTCCAGAGATTAGGCAGGATGAAGTATCCCACCACTCGACTATACAACTTGCTTTGCACCTGAGAACCAAGATGGATGTGTGGTAATCTAACATAGCAATGGAACATTACCAATATTAATATCATTTGTAGTTTATATACCTCTTAAACATTGCCATTTTCCATAGCTATGAAGTTACCAGGTTACAACCGGATATCTTCTAGATGCCAGACTTTTTTCGGGGGCGTTGACAGCTGCCAGGGTGCACTGCCTGACCTTGGTAAGTTGCTGGAGCCGACGATTCAGCAGCTCGAAAAGGCGGTGAGGGATGCTTCTTGGGCCCAACTTTGATGGTGAATGCAGGTGGATGGCGCTGAAAGCAGCTGAGAGGGTCATTTTGGATTTTAGATAGTTGTTCCTCGGAAATTTGAAGATGAGAGAGAGAGAGAGAGATGGAGAATCATGGACAGTTTCCAACCACTGTTTTCTGGGTGTCGGATCTGATTGATTTGGCCGGGTCTTCCTTATGGCACTGAAGCGGCCTCTGAGGCCTATCAATTTGGTGTAGAACTCTGCGAAGGTACGTACAGATCCTCGCCATGGTGTATATTGGTGGATGGTTGCAACATGTCGCAATGCCATGCATGGAACCAATGGAAGATGGGTGCCCCCAAAAAACAGGGGAAGGTTGTTTTGTGATCAGGCTTTTGTTGATGGTAAACCGGCAGAAACACGCCTTCAAATACTCCAAAACGTCCTGTCCATGGTGACTCTGCGGTGTGTATAGGCATCGTGCAAGTTGCTTTGGCCGCAGGGCCTAAACATTACTGTGTGAAAAAAGTTGCTTCAAACAATTTCAAGCAGTTCTGTCTCGCTATTTGTATAACATACATTTACAAAGTTAGAATGTATCCTGTACTTATAGCAGTATATTGTACACATATTGTGTATGTACAATTATATATACGAGTAACCGACAAAATTATTGTGATTAATACTAATTTAGTTTTGCTTCGCCTTGGCCTTTCCGAGGTTGCACAAAGCCTTCATAACGGACAGGGACGACCCTATACCGATACCCCATTTGTGATACCTCCAGGAATACTCAAATCCTCACAACCGATAGGGAACAACCCTAATTTGTGCGTGGCATATGGCATTGAATTTAAAATATTTCAATATATAAATTTAACATATCATTTTGTCCTCTACTCATATATACATATATACATAATATTATTATAGAATGGGCTAGCGCCCTGGTGCCGCCGACCCCTCCTTAGTGGGGGGGTCGGTAACATGTGCATGTTCCCCGCAGCCGTCTTTTGTGGGCCACCTTGTCCATGGACATCTTGGTGGCGTTGAAGAAGCCATTGATCTGGCCTTGGGGTGCCTGTTGCCTGCGGGGTTGGGCGTGCCAAGAAGATTTTGAAGCGTTGTAAGGGTTTCAAGGGTTTAAGGCCTGGAAACGGCAGGCTTGAATGCCCATAAGAAGCTATTGATGTGGCCTTGGGGTAGCTTGTGCCTGCGGGGTTGGGCGTGCCAAGAGGTTTTTGCAGCGTTGTAAGGGTTTTAAGGGTTTAAGGCCTGGCAAACGGCAAGCTTGAACGCCCATAAGAAGCTATTGATGTGTCCTTGGGGTAGCTTGTGCCTGCCGGGTTGGGCGTAGCAAGAGGATTTTGCAGCGTTGTAAGGGTTTTAAGCGTTTAAGGCCTGGCAAACGGCAGGCTTGAACGCCCATAAGAAGCCATTGATGTGGCCTTGGGGTAGCTCGTGCCTGCGGGGTTGGGCGTAGCAAGAGGATTTTGCAGCGTTGTAAGGGTTTTAAGGGTTTAAGGCCTGGCAAACGGCAGGCTTGAACGCCCATAAGAAGCCTTGGGGTGGCTTGTGCCTGCGGGGTTGGGCGGAGCAAGAGGATTTTGCAGCGTTGTAAAGGTTTTAAGCGTTTAAGGCCTGGCAGAGCAGGCTTGAACGCCCATAAGAAGCCATTGATGTGGCCTTGGGGTTGCTTGTGCCTGCGGGGTTGGGCGTAGCAAGAGGATTTTGCAGCGTTGTAAGGGTTTTAAGCGTTTAAGGCCTGGCAAACGGCAGGCTTGAACGCCCATAAGAAGCCATTGATGTGGCCTTGGGGTAGCTTGTGCCTGCGGGGTTGGGCGTAGCAAGAGGATTTTGCAGCGTTGTAAGGGTTTTAAGGGTTTAAGGCCTGGCAAACGGCAGGCTTGAACGCCCATAAGAAGCCTTGGGGTGGCTTGTGCCTGCGGGGTTGGGCGGAGCAAGAGGATTTTGCAGCGTTGTAAAGGTTTTAAGCGTTTAAGGCCTGGCAGAGCAGGCTTGAACGCCCATAAGAAGCCATTGATGTGGCCTTGGGGTTGCTTGTGCCTGCGGGGTTGGGCGTAGCAAGAGGATTTTGCAGCGTTGTAAGGGTTTTAAGCGTTTAAGGCCTGGCAAACGGCAGGCTTGAACGCCCATAACCATTGATGTGGCCTTGGGGTGCCTGTTGCCTGCGGGGTTGGGCGTAGCAAGAGAAATGACAAAAAATGACAAAAAATGACAACGCAAATTTAAAATGACAAACCCAAATGCAAAAAAATGCAGAAAATGACAAAATAGTTATTTTGGTATTTCCAATGTTTGCAGGCCCAAGATTTTCTTAAATTTAATTATATATAACATATACAGTTATATGTATATATATATAGATCTATAATATAGAATGTATATGATATATGATATCTAATAAATTAAATAAATAAATAAACAAACAAACAAATAAATAATAAAAAAACTATATATATATATGCTGTCTATTTAATCTATGGATACATGATGATAGACGTGTTGCCCAGCATGTGGCCCAGGGTGGATCACCGGTGAGCAGGACGAGGATGAGGACGCCGGGTATCGTCCAGGTTCTCTTGTTGGTTTCAAGATACAACCAACACTGATAGCAAGATTATAAGATGACATGTTGACATTTGTACGCTACAATACTGGGATATTATGGAATATTCCCATTTTCGTTTTGATTCTTTGAATGACGGACTAGATGAAGTATATCCAAGGCATTCCAGATCCATTCTGACCCATGGCATCATCACCAAACACCTGCTCCAAACATTTCTGCCAGGATGAATTGCCAACGACTTCGGTCCAACTGGCCTCTAGAGAGAGTCTTGATCTACATCAGTGCTGGGCTTCCCATAGGTTTTTTCATGGTTTCTCATGGTTTCCCATTAATGGAAAATACGTGAAATACCCTATAAATGGAGGTTCTATAATAGGAACATCATCAAACATTTTTTTTTTCCAGCTAGCCATGTTTTATTGCCGGAGGGTATGCTAGTTTTCCATAGAACCATAGGATATGATGTCAACCCTGGATTGATCAACTCTATTGATGATACAAGATGATATAAGTATGTATGTCGGGGGTTGCCCAAAATAGTGAGACCCTCCTAGTAACACTGCGGGTGAAACTCATTGCGTCATGTTGAAGTGATGCTGTTTTTTTCCGCGTATTTATATTGTTTTGTAGTAGTAATACACGCTATTTTGACGAGTAACCCATGCAATTTCCCGAATTTGTCATTTCAAGTCGGAATTCGTGACCCTGTGATGCAGGGATCAACCGCCTTGTTCGCTCAACTCGAGGGTCTTAAACGTTGGGCCACAAAATTGCGCTGCTTCATGGGGGTGGGAGATTTGATCCCTAATGTAAACCCAAAAATAGCGGCACGGCCTGCTTTGCAGGCCAGTCTCCGCTATTTGGGGGCTGGATTTTGAGCCCAAGTAGTTGTTTATGGAACCTAGCTAAATCTCTGGGTGGCGAAGCCTGAAGCCCCGTTGTTGGTTGATGGTGACCTCCTTTGTTGTTCGATGTGAAACCCACTGGGTAAAACTGGTACCGTGTTCCTAAATTTGGAGTTTTTTAAATTCCAGGCCATGGGTAAACTTTATTCCAATTTTGCTTGTCTCTGTTTCACTTTTTTCAGCGCCCCGTTCTAACATGCAATGAACATCCAAACTCAAGCTGAAAACAACCGTGCAACATATATATATAATTATATATATATATGTGTGTGTGTTCCGCAGCGATATGCAGTTCATGTCGAACTACACGTCAGCAGCAGCTTTCCGTCAGCCGAATGGAGAAACAAGATGTAAACAAATAAAGTGACTAGAACAAAAAAATAAAGTGAATAGAACAAGAGAGTCTGTGGCTGCAGGATAAGCTACTAACCAGCACCTATAACACGGGACCCGAAGGTTTTGTGTAGGTGGACCCCAAAACCAACGAAACGACGGAGAAACAATAATCACAAAAGAGAACTAGACGACGGTTGGCCCGAGAGCGAAAAAGATGTTTTTCAAGCAGCTCCGAGGATGGTAGTCGTAAAAGATAGTCGGTGAATAGTTGGTGAATTTTATATGAGCTATGGAAAGATATGGTGTGAAAAAGTAAGATTGATCAAGAAGAGAATATTTGGTAAAGGGCATCAGATGACATGTGTCTTGCAACCACAGAGAGAAAGAGGGGGCAGAGATAAAGAGAGAGAGAGAGAGAGAGAGAAGAGAGAGAGAGAGAGAGAAAGAGAAAGCAAGAGAGAGAGAGAGAGAATGAAAGGGGGGGGTAGAAAGAAAACATGAAGAAATGTAATGTGAGCAACAAAAGTGCACAGGAGGCTCAGTGCCATGAGTCTGCGAATGACATGTGCTATCTCATTTTATTATGGTAATTCCCACACACATTGCGGAAAAAGGCGCGGCACCATCATTCCGTGAACGCGAAGAAACGCGACGCTTTTATACAGAGACGCTTTTACACACAGAATCTTTTACACATAAACACTTTTACACACAGACGCTTTCACACAGAGACGTTTTTCATGCACACACACACAGACACATTTCCACACAGAGACTTTTACACGAAAACACTTTAACACACAGACGCTTTTATACACAGACTCTTTTACACACATACACTTTTACATGCAGATGCCTTTTTACAGACGCACACACACTTTCACACACAAACACTTTCACACACGACGCAAGCTTTTACACACAGACGGTTTTACACACAGACGCTTCTACACGCAGATATGTTTTACACACGCACACACGCTTTCACACACAAACGCTTTTACACACAGACGCGTTGACACACAAACGCTTTTACACACAGACGCTTTTACACGCAGATGCTTTTTACACACGCACACACGCTTTCAAACACAAACGCTTTTACACACAGACGCTTTTACACACAGACACTGGTACAGAAACGAAAACGTCCATCGCAATTTTTCCTCAGTTTTTGACGTGCAACGTCCATTTCGTGCGAAAGGGTTACGATTGACCAAGTAAAATCGCAATTTTTCCTCAGTTTTTGACGTCCAACGTCCATTTCGTGCGTAAGGGTTGCGATTGACAACTCAAAGTCGCACTTTTTCCTCAGGTTTTGACGTCCAACGTCCATTTCGTGCGTAAGGGTTGCGATTGACAACTCAAAGTCGCAATTTTTCCTCAGTTTTTGACGTCCAACGTCCATTTCGTGCGTAAGGGTTGCGATTGACAACTTCAAAGTCGCAATTTTTCCTCAGTTTTTGACGTCCAACGTCCATTTCGTGCGAAAGGGTTGCGCGCGACACCTCAAAGTCGCAATTTTTCCTCAGTTTTTGACGTCCAACGTCCATTTCGTGCGAAAGGGTTGCGCGGGACACCTCAAAGTCGCAATTTTTCCTCAGTTTTTGACGTCCAACGTCCATTTCGTGCGAAAGGGTTGCGCGCGACGGATCAAAGTCGCAACTTTTCCTCAGTTTTTGACGTCCAACGTCCATTTCGTGCGAAAGGGTTGCCGGGGACGCTTCAAAATCGCAATTTTACCTAGGTTTTGGACGTCCAACGTCCATTTCGTGCGAAAGGGTTGCGTTTCGTGGCGCTCCGGCGGCACCGCCCCCGCCTTAAGAGAGAATAGAAGAAGAGCGAGAGGAGATCTGCAGATGTGAAGGTGTGAAGATGTAGATCTGCAGATGTGAGGGTGTGAAGATCTAGATCTGCAGATGTGAGGGTGTGAAGATCTAGATCTGCAGGTGTCAAGGTGTGAAGATCTAGATCTGCAGATGTGAGGGTGTGAAGATGTAGATCTGCAGGTGTGAGGGTGTGAAGATGTAGATCTTCAGGTGTGAAGGTGTGAAGATCTAGATCTGCAGATGTGAAGGTGTGAAGATCTAGATCTGCAGGTGTGAGGGTGTGAAGATCTAGATCTGCAGGTGTGAGGGTGTGAAGATCTAGATCTGCAGATGTGAGGGTGTGAAGATGTAGATCTTCAGGTGTGAAGGTGTGAAGATCTAGTATAACGACTGCTTTTTTACGAAGAACCCTTCGCAGGCGCTCTCGGGAAAAAATACTTAAGGAGATCGGTCCCGTGACGCACAGCAGTGTTCGTGACCACTTGCCTTTGGCTTTGGAGAGTAAAACTAGAAAAGGGAGAAAGTAACAACGATGGAGTGACCGTGGTCTCCCGGCACGTCTCTGGCGGCCCGCGCGAGCTTTAGCTGCAAGGTAATGGAGTTGATGTGCCTTGGCCCCAAAAAAAGAAGTGGAGAGAGCTTAATAAAAAGTTGCCACCTGTGATGTGGCATGGTTTGGTCGGAGCTGATGATAACAGCTTCCTGGTGGTAGTTTGCCTCCAGGCAAAAATTCCTTATAACAATTTTCACTTTATCAACCCGGGTTTTTAGTCCTGAGAACAGGAAATGGAAATTGCCACGGCCCCTCCAGTACAGAATGACGAGGAGTGTACATTCCAGCAAAGGAAGAGGGTGACGAGTAGGAGTTGACGTGGAAGATTTCCCCCTTAGTCTTTATCTTGGAGTGAAGTGTGAAAAATCCAGAAAATTGTGCGTGGAGAAAATGTCGATAAAGTAGAACATTGGCTGGACTTGCAAGAAGGAGAATAAGGCAACCGAAACGAGACACAATGAGACCAAGTAAGAGATGTTTGACCTGGTACTGGTTCCAGCAAACTCGGAGAATGAGATGTAGGAGAGAATGTGCAAGGCTTCCCCGACAGCCTTGAGGAAGGAGTTGAACACGACAAATCCAGAATAGTGGTTGGAGAAAATGTCGTTGTATAAATATTTGGCCAGAGCAACAAGCAGGAGCGTATATATGGTGCAGAAGCGGTCGCCTACAGGTTGTCCAAGTAGAAGATGGATGCTGCTTGAATTGTACCGAGGCTGACATGGCAGCGAAAGAATTTGATTGGACATTCCTGAAAATACAGGGGCTTGCGAACGGAGGCTAGCTAAAGCTTGTATTCATAGATGCTTTGTTGGTGGCTTCTGGTTGCTTCTAGTTAAGTCGGTGGTGGATCCTCAAGTGCGATGCGCCCACATGGCCTAAAGACATTGAGGTGCAAAAGGTCCGACCAGTGAAACCCAGCTAGCCATCCAACTTGGATTGTGACAGGACAACATCTCCCATTTTAACGCGGGTCATCGAATCCCGACTGTCGATCGGCCAGCAAAGTCCTTGCGCCAGGATAGCATACTTTTCGGGTTTCTCCTCGGCAACCCGGTTGCAATACTGGGGGCCTTGGAACATGTTCTCATCAATTGGGGTTTGCTGACCAGAGATGTTGGGATGACACGGGGCCCCTGTGATAGCTGGCAGGTTCACAGTGGCAGTCCTGCCAATGCTGGAACTGGCCAGCCGCTAAGTGGCTTCAACCATCTTCAGCACCAAAAAAATTGGGATGGAAGATCCCAACTGATCTTATTCTCTCTGAATGTTTTCCTCCAAGGTTGGGATGCTCAGACTTTTCAAAAAAAATGGATGACAATCTTTCCCCGCCGCCCGAGGTTTGCACGCTCTTACCCAGCAGCACATCCTCAGTGGTCATGGCCAGTCCCATGGCCGGAGAAACTGCACATCTGACGATATGTCATCCAGTGAACCTAACATCCTACAGGTGTTGAAATTCAATTTCTAGGATGTTAGGTTCACTGGATGACATATCAACAGTACGATTGTTCAATTTTTTTTTGCACATCTTTTTGGATCTTGTTGGTAATTCCCTTGACGTTCCGTCTCATTTTATGGAACAGGTCACAGGAGTCATTTGGATAAGGCGGTCCCAAGGCCATGTAAGAAATAGCGCATGTGAGACACGGATTTGCATCAGATGCTTGGAGATCACCATCGCTTTTGATTAAAACCTCACTTTGACTGCATAGTTTTCTTGTACATTGTACTACATGAGTTGATTGGAGAAGTGCCGTGCAAGCGGTGCAATGAAGATGTAGCTGGAACCCTCCTGAAATTATGGAAACATATCTGCAGTGAAGGATTCCATGAGTGGCACCCATGGGCCCATGGTGGGACCCCTGAAATGTATAGTGGGTGAAATCTTATGGCTGACATATGTCTCCTTTGCGATCCCAGGATCCAGTTACCACTACAGCAGCTATGCAGGAACCACCAAGCAGTTGAATTCCTTGCGGTAAAAAAACTGTACCTGTGGGATGATCCGGGCTTCTAATGTTGATGTACGCCCAAGGTCACCCAAGATCCCAAAAAGAGAAACAACGTCAGCTGAAATGACTCAGGTGTCAATATCGGACCCTTTGGCTTTTGGACATTCGCCTTGCGGCCTGGCTGATTGCTAAATGAGCCGCGATTTGTCCAGTTGGCTCCCAAAATCACATGGCTAGCGACGTCATGCCCGTGGGCCTTGTAGCTTGAGGAGTGGTGCGGCAGCAGCCTTCCTGATGGTCCAGTCCGTGCGAATGTGGAATCTGAATGGTGCCTGGGTCAAAAAACTCTGAAGTTTCGTTGCGAATTCCACATGTCCATTCTCCATCTGTATTAGGATTGTGCCCTCCCCGCTTGGGTGTTTCTTAAAGTGGGGCCAAGACCATTGGTTATCGGTTTCCAATTTCAGAATGACAAATCACTGTGATATAGATGTACAGGATGCATGATCATCAATGATGATATGTATGTTTGGGGGGTATCACTGCTGTGTAGTGTTTTTTTGGCAATGGAAATTCCTGCCATCGGATTCACTGGACCAGTCATGAGCTGGACCGAAGCAAGGTGAGGAAAATGGCCGGCGGAATGTCTACCGTGTAGCTTGGAAAAAGAACATTGGGAGAACATGGGAGAACAAATTGATGGAAAGGAAAAGCACGGAAGGATGTGGCAACCGCGACTTAGATTCTTCTGGATTCGACTATAATAGGTTCTACTTGGATGTACTAGCTGGATATATATATATATATTTATATCTTAGATGCTTTGCGAGCATTTAAAAGTGCTACAAGCATTCGAAGACCGGAAGACCAAACTTCGGCGCAAATCCATTGTAGGCTTCCAGATTTTGGAGGGTGTGGGCCGCACTTCCTGGCAGCTGAAATTTTGTACTTCGCTGTTCCTCTCTCTTCTCTCAGGGGGCAGCGACAGCGTTTGGCATTGCCGCAGTGGGGCAGGCCAGTGGCAATGGGATCCACAACAAGATCTGCAGCTAGGTGTAACAGTGCATCATGATCATCATGGTAGGAAGCATGTCCAGTTATGAAATATTAGGCAGTTCTTAGGTGCCTTAGTGAAGATGACATACGGACATATACATGTCCCGTTTCCCGCTTTCCGCAACTGCTGACGCTCTTGGGTGACTTGGACGTTGCCTTAGAATTGCCATCATCAAACGCGCCACTGCACTAACAGCTGATCAACTAATGATGGGCAACTTGGGTTGGTGGTTCTGATTCCCATTTCTCCACTAACAGCCACAGCTTGGTTGCCATCAGTTGCCCATAGTTGCCTTATGTTGCCTTACTTTTCAGCCAGAAACCCATGGGAGGTTGCCTTCCTGGCGCTCAACCACACAGCCGTGGTTGGAATGCACGTCTTGCCCTACGTGTCGGTCAGCAGCTTCTTCGCCCCCATGTCACTGGGAGGAACGAATAGGGGGGTGGACGAGCAGCGGACAAGCCATCCTGCAGTTGGTAAATCTTGGGATCCCATGGGGTCCCTATGAAACACTGGAAATCATGGGATCATAATGGGATAAACCATCTGGGGAAGATTGCACCCACTGCGTGTTTTTTTTTTTTCGGTTGGGTGCTTTGTGAGACATGATGGGATGCACTTTCATCACCATAGTCCTCCGGATCCTCAGGGAATGGTTATGTTCTGATCGGTTTGCCTTCTGCTCATCTCATTCTGGCTTGGGTCATTTTTCCGCCCTCTGGCAGGGCTTTCAACGGATGATCCTTGAAGTTTCATTCGGCCCCAAAATTGGTATAGCTCGGTGGCTGGCCGTGTAAGGATGAACCCCTTCCTGGTGCTTCATCTTTTCGCGCGGCTCGGCGTTATTCGAAACGTGGTTTTGTGCAGTGAAGGCTTGAGTTTTGTTTATGATTTTGTCACTTTTGTCATTGGTTTTTGATGTTAAGATATACCGCCTGAAAACTGACATGGAACGACCAGAAGAGGAGTTGGAAACTGATTTTAGGACTGAACATCTATGTTTTTTTGGGCAATTTATGTTCAAAACTCCGTCACTGACATAGATACATTATGATACGTATGATATCATCCTTCCCATTCAAGGTGTTTCTTTGGTGAATTCCGATGCCATGCAGCATTATCCCCTTGAACTTGTTGGAACATTTTCCTCAGAACGGCTCGAAGAGAGATTTCATTGATCTACAACAAGGGAAAAGAATTGTTTTCCAGTGAAATACGTTGAACGGGAATGGGTTTTCTCTTTCTTTCATTCTGGGAAGCTGCTGAGATTCAGCACTGAGCTGCCATTCGTCTTCTACGTGCAGGGTCGGATGGCCGGGCTTGACTCAACTGATACTCAGCTGGAATTATGAATGCCAAGTATCCAATGCTTCAGTTTTGTACCACTGATATTCAACTGATATCTGGTTAAAAAACACAGTGATATAGGGGCTCATAAATTTGATTCAGGATGAAAGATCGCAACCTGCAGAGAAGATCAGGCACCCATCAAGCTTCCAACCCCAGAATTGGGCCCTAGGAGATGAGCTACTGCCACTTGAACGCTGGCTTGTTTGGTGTCCTCTCAATTCTCTCGGCATCCACCAAGAATGCGCCTTGGCACCAACCTTCGTGTCCTGGGATTAGTATTTTGTGGGGTTTTAACCCTTACTTCTCATTCAAACCCTTAGACATTTCGGGGAAATTCAGTTTCAGTTCTTATCATTTCTTGCGATTCGAACCCAGTTTATCAAGTTTAATTTATTTGTAGGTTTTTATACCTTGACAACATGTTGGAAGCGTATGTCTTTGTAATCTGATCCATTCAATCAAGCTTTTGGACCCCCCGATCATATTTCACGGCAAAAAACCATGGCAAAAAAAGAACGGGTTTCCTGTAGAGTTTCCCCTTCAACCAGCGCAACAATCAGTGCACTGATATTCTGATCATTTCTGATCGGTTCGACCTGGTTCGACCTGGACCTTTGAGGTCGTCCCTCTGCCCATCTCCAGGTTTGGCTGCGTCTTGCCCTGCTGGCGGCCAGCGGCTTTTGCACGTATCGGCTCGGTCAGGAGTTGCAGGGGCTGAGGGTTTGTATTTCGCCTTGCTGAGCTTTGATTATTTGGATTTTTCCTCAGAGGTTGCATCTTTATCCGACTTTATGAGCTTCATATAATTTCATATACTATGTCACAAGCCTTTACATAGACTGCATTTTTTGACAAGATACCGTAGACTTTGAGACACCCCAATGTATCAACCTGAGGATGTCATAGAATGTCCGGGAGAAGTGAGAAGTGGTGCTATTGATATTGATGTCAAGTTACAATTTTCCAGCGGTTTCGCACTTGATTTGACCACAGACAGCTTGTTATCATTCAAATGGAGGCTTCTCGGTGTCTTCTGATTCTTCTGTCCTTTTTCGACATACTTCAACGAGATTCAACATTTTCCCAGCCTATCTGCTGAGATACTCTGAGATACTCTGAAGTCCTCTCAATTTTCCCAACGATCAGCTCTCAGGGTCGCATATCATCCAGAACCTGAGGAATCCCAGCCCCAAAGGCCCAAAGGTCTCATTTTTTTTCTTATTTTTTTTTGTGCCCCAAATCGCCAGTCCATCCCAAGGGTAGATCAACGTTTTTCGAATTCCCTCGATGTCACCCTAGATGCCCCTGCCCTGAAACTGCGGCCAGCGCTTGCCGGACAAAGTGAAAGACATCACCGTGTCGCGCATGACGAAGATGTGGGAAAAGAATTTGACAACCAGCACTTTGGTGATATCTTTAGCAACCGGGTGCCGGTTGAGACATGGATCCAGTGTTCCAACCCCCCATATCCCCCATTCATGACTCGGCGATCCTGGTGGTTGAGCCCCTTGGTTTTGTATTGGCCAACGGGGTTACAAACCTGCCCAAAATTGCAAAGATGACCATGGGATACGATGGGATACAATGAGATACTGATACAATCAGCCGCAATGAAGCACAACAAAGATGTTGCTGTTTAAGAATGTTGAAGACAGAGCAGATGAGCGAGCAACCCCAAGAAAGATGTATAGAAAAATCACCTGGCACTATTTTTAGATATTTGTAGTAGGATTTTGCTTTTCTGTCTTTTGGGGGCCGTTGCCACACACATCCTCTAGTTTGAGGTTACTAATATTATTCAAGATTGTTAAAAGTTAAAACCACCAAACAGAAAACTGTATTGGTGGGAATTTCCCCTTGGAATATATGATTGCCATGGCAGCTATGGCGGCTATGGCCTCGAAAATGATGTGATCACAGTGATCGCCAAGTCCTTGGGAACGTCGCAGAGCCGGACTCAGGCATCAACTGGGCTGGAAATGTGGCGATGATTCATGTTGGAGTGCAAGCTCTGGGTCGCTTGGCGTGTTAAGGTCAGGCCCTGGTGCATCCTGAGTTCGGCAGGGTCGACTGGTCACATGTTTTCAATTGGATGGGGGATGAACGATGAATTTCCAATCCTGGGCACCTCTTCAGCTCCTTGGCCACGGCCGCATCGGTGGATCGCATTAGGGGCTTCAACCCTCGTGCTGTTCATGGTGTGTCAGTCGGCTTATCGTAAGGGATAGTAAGGGGAAACATGCGGGCAGCCATGAAGGTTCATTCCCAGAAATGGGGTCCGAATATACGATAGCCCAAAAAACAGGGGAGGGGATGGTTTAATCATGGGAAACGTCATGCTTCCCAGGAACCATGGTAGCGCAGCCCATACAAAAACACCCAAAAATTGCTGAGGTGCGGGCTACCTTGGCTGGATGCCTCAGGCGTACCAAATAATGAGTCTCACAATGGCTGAGTCTTGGCGGAACGAATGCTGGAACCGATGGCACGGTTTGCATTGGATCTATTAAACTATTCATTTGGAGGCCCATTTGGAGGCAAGTTTAGGGGGAAGGGATGAGTAAACCACTAGGCAAACCTTCCGAACTAGGACACTTGATAGTTCTTGTTTGCCGAATTGTATATAGATAGATGGATGGATGGATGGATGGATGGATGGATGGATAGATATATAGTATATAGATAGATAGATAGATAGATAGATAGATAGATAGAGAGATAGAGAGATAGAGAGATAGAGAGAGAGATAGAGAGAGAGAGATATGATATATGATATATGATATATCATATATATCATATATATATCATATGCCGCGACCCCTCCGCACCTCCCAATTTTCCCCCAGGATAGGATGCTCCTTCTACACATGGTTTGGGGAAAACAACACTTTATCTGGGCAAATCAAGAACTCTCCTGCCATATAAATAAATCCAATGCAGGTTTTCCATGTTTCCACACAGTATTCCATCCCAGAATTGCATGCAGAGAAAATGCACAAGGATCACCCCAATTTCTATTTGAAGATTTTGAAGACAACGGTTTCCCATAAATTTCTATATGATTTTGCATTTTTCCCTTCAATCGATCCATTATGATTTCCATCAACTGCCTGAGGATCGTCTGGGAAACTCCCATTGTGCACATGTTTTTACATGGGGCCAAAGATCATGAGAATTTCTCCCATATCAATCTCAGTTGAACAACAACTGAGGAAGGTTTGATGCTGCACGTCTGCTTCCGAAAGATCCTCTACGACCACAACCACGTGGCGCGTGCCGAGATGCGTCTGATCGAGAAGGAGGCGGGTGAGAGAAGGCAGCAGGCGCAGGCGCAGGCTCAGGTGCGAGCTGGATGATCCAGCGGCGGATTTTTATTGCAACGATGCACTGCTGTGGTTTGTTTATTGATAGGGTGTACTGCTGGGGAAAAAACATTATTTCTGATCAATGATTGTCTATGTGGTTGATGCATTTGAGGTGGTGAAAAGCAAAGGGGTGATCATTGGATACTCCACGGAATAAACCAACAAGGGGCTTGATCTTATCCAGAGTTGACGCAACCCGAAAATGAGCAGCTGACCAAGAAAATGAGCAGCTGACCAAAGCTCTAGGCCCCTTTTTAGAATTGCTTTGGCACCTGTTTGAGTCTATAGGATTTGTAGGATTGGCTGAGTTGCGAAGCCAGTCATCGCGTTGAACCTTGTCTTGACACCAGAAAGCATTGCGGGAGAGGGTGCGTCGGGTGATGCAACAGATGATTTGCCCCCGATTCCAAAGGACAAAACCCAGAGATTTTATCATGGCCTGTTTTGCCTTCATTGGTAAACCATGTGTAGAAAGACTCCAAGTTGGACAGTTGCCTGGTGTTGAGATGCCCAACCAACAAGGGTTGTGAACGAGTGAAGAGATGTACACAATTAGCATCGGTATCCATCTCTGGGCCTTCCTGCCCTGGGACTTGTGCCGTGAAAATTCATGTGCAAAAGCCTTGCAGCGCCAATCTCTGTGGGCGGCAAAAGAGGAGGGGTTCCGTGGGAAGGAAGTGATGAAGCTAGCTTGGTCAATCTTGGTCATCTACTTAGAATCTACTTGTCACATTTGTCACCCGAACCCCAAGGCATTACCCTCTGGTAAACTAACATAGCTATTGAAAATGGCCATTTATAGTGAGTTTTCCCATTAAAAATGGTGATTTTCCATAGTTATGTTAAATTACCAGAGGGTACATTTAAAACACACCTCCTTTTTCGGGGGACAAGCTGGTGCACCATTCCGGCGCTATCACAGAAGGTGTGCAACATGTCCTGCGACCCGAAAGCCACAGATGGATTTTCCATGATTTTCCTGCAAGGTCATCATTTAGCATTGTTTCTAAAACTTATATATAACTTATGTTTATTCCGCCCCGCATCTGAGCCCGTGCCATTTCTGGCGCACGGGCGCACGGGCCGAGGCATTGCATGCCCACGCTGTTGGCGGGAAAACTCAAGTCTTCCGGTTTAGCCTTCATCTTTGGCGTCGTGGCCCGGCGGGCATGGCTGAAAACAAGTAGATTGATGGTTGAAATTTGAATGATTTTCAAGCATCATGGAAAACCATCATGGACCATTGATTGAACCATATTCAACCATTGATTGATGTTTTTTCGAGATTTGATTTGCTCATTCTAAAGTTCCTTCCGGACTATTGCAGGGTCTCTGAATCCTCCCACGTCGCTGCCGGTTTCAGGTTCTGCTTTATCCGCGGAACATTGCGGGTGGGTTGTTTACCAATGTTTTTTTGTGCTGGTTCTGCTTCTTGGCCAACTGGAGAACTGGGGTGGAGCCAAAAAACCATCGCAGTAGTGAATGAAGTGCGGGCCCTGCGGGTGGGCGTCAGGAATAGCTATATAAGATAGATTAAAATTGCATTTTAATGTAATGTAGTTATCGAAGGAAGTTTCGAAGTCAAACTTCCGACAATATGGACAGATGAAAAGCAGAGATGGGAAGAGTCAGAGAAGAGAAGAAAGAGAAAGAGTCAGAAGAAAGAAGATCCAGGTGCGCGAAAAGGTAGGCAAGTCGCAAAACACTGTGTTTTTCCAATGATTTGAAGCTCCGGAGGGTCGAAAAGTAGGCTTGCTAAAGCGGCGGGTGCGGAGCCAGCTGGCCAGATGAGAGATGAAAAATTGCACGCCGTTGTGGCGCGAAGCAGATTTCGAGGTCAAAATGCACAAAGCACCTCAGCGTCGGAACACTTTTAGAAGTTGCGATGTCGAAAAAGTGCATGCCGTTGTGGCGCGAAGCACATTTCGAAGTCAAAATACAAAACACACCAGGTTTGGACCACTTTTGGAAGTTGCGATGTCGAAAAGTGCACGCCGTTGTGGCGCGAAGCACATTTCGAAGTCAACATGTGAAAAGCACCGCATGCTCGGACCACTTTTGGACTTTGAAGTGTCGTTTCGCGTGGCAGGCGCAAGGGATTGTGCACTGTGTTAAAAGTGAGCAACGCGTGAGGGTTTTGTAGCATTTCCAAAAACGATGGCAGGCGTGGGACATTTGAAGAGGATCTGGAAAGATGCATTTTCCGTGGCAGGCACAGTACAAGAGACATGTTCATCAGAGCTGTTAGGAGGTCCGGGCACTGATTTCCTGAGAGGGGTTGCATTTTGGAGCCTCAGATCTTCAGGTTTGCTGGGATGATTTTGCGTGACAGGTGCAGCACTTCGTATGACCTGGCATTAGAAGAAACTCGCAGCCATACCCTGGAGATGGTTCAAATATTTATTTTGTCATTTTTTTGTCGTTTTTATTGTCATCTTTTTTGTCATTTCAGTTTTGTCTGTCATTTTGTTTGTCATTTTTTTGTCTTTTTTTTGTCATTTCAGTTTTGTCTGTCATTTTGTTTGTCATTTTTTGTCGTTTTTTTGTCATTTCAGTTTTGTCTGTCATTTTTTTTTCATTTTTTGAAGAATTTTTCGATCTTTTTCACTATTTTTGACAAATTTGCACCAAAACGACAAAAAAATGACAAATTTTCGACAAAAAAACGACAAAAAAATGGCACTTTTGCAGGTGGCAAAAATTGCATTTTTCTCGAAGCATTGTCATTTTTTTGTAATTTTTCTCTCATTTTTCGAATTTTTTTTCGATCTTTTTCACTTTTTTAAAGAAAATTGTACCAAAATGACAAAAAAATGACAGAAAAATGACCAAACAATGACAATGCTTCGAGAAAAATGCAATTTTTGCCACCTGCAAAAGTGCCATTTTTTTATCGTTTTTTTGTCATTTTTTCATTTTGTGGAAAATGTGTCCTTTTTTTGTCGTTTTGGTGCAAGTTTCTCAAAAATAGTGAAAAAGATTGAAAAATTCTTCGAAAAATGACAGAAAAATGACAGACAAAATTGAAATGACAAAAAAAACGACAAAAAATAACAAAAAAATGACAGACAAAACTGAAATGACAAAAAAACGACAAAAAAATGACAAACAAAATGACAGACAAAACTGAAATGACAAAAAAACGACAAAAAATGACAAACAAAATGACAGACAAAACTGAAATGACAAAAAAACGACAAACAAATGACAAAAAAAATGACAGACAAAACTGAAATGACAAAAAAACGACAAAAAAATGACAGACAAAACGACAAAAAAATTTCAAAATAAATATTTTGTTTTTTTCAACCTTTGCCTGCCCAAGTTTCTTCTAAACCTGGCATCACTTTTTCGTTGCAGGCGCAGTAATTTAGATAGACGGACTGGAAAAATCGCAAAACGCATTGGTACGAGCCCGTCAGCTCTGCACTCAGCTTTCCATTTTTGAAGGATGTCTCGCAGAATTGCTTCGTTTTTGATGTTATCAACTTAACAAAAATGAGGAAGTCTCGCAGAATTGCTTCGTTTTTGATGTTGTCAACTGCAAAAATTGAGGACGTCTCGCTGAATTGCTGCGTTTTTGATGTTGTCAAGTTGTGAAGTTCAAAAGCTGAGGAAGTCTCGCAGAATAGCTTCGTTTTCAAGCCTGCAGATTGATAGATAGATAGGTAATTAGATGAGAGTTAGATTAGATTAGATTAGGTTAGGTTAGGTTAGGTTCGGTTAGGTTAGATTAGATAGATAGATAGATGGGTAGATAGATAGATGGATAGACAGACAGATAGACAGATAGACAGATAGACAGATGAGAGAGAGAGAGAGAGAAATAGATAGATAGATAGATAGATAGATCGATAGATCGATAGATCGATAGATCGATAGATCGATAGATCGATAGATCGATAGATAGATCGATAGATAGATAGATAGATAGATACGGGGTCCCGTGCTCGTAGATACATAGATAGATACATAGATAGGTAGGTAGGTAGGTAGATAGTCAGAGAAAGAGAGAGAAAGAGAGGAGATCTCAAGCACCTTTCGGTCCATCAGTGGCTTCGCTCCGCCATCCGTGATTCACAACAACCAACCTCTCCTATAGGTTTCCTATTTTTGAAACTTCCGCCACCGCCTTGTGCGGTACTACTGGTATAATTATAGCTTAAACAAAATTCTACAGTCTGTGGCATATTTCACAGATAGCTAGATAGCTAGGTAGCTAGATAGCTAGCTATTCAGATACATCATATACATCATTTACATCATATACATCATATACTTCTATGTAATGAAAAAATTGACTTCATGCGGCAAGCTGCTAAGCTGTCGAGGTTTTTAGGCCTTCCTTGCGGGGAGCACAGACGACCCCTCAACCCTTTCGGGGCTCCCGCACCTGCACCAAGGTTTGGGAGTTCTCCCAATGATCTTTCCAGCGGTCCTGTTGGCTTTTGCGGCCCTGGTCGCCTGGAGTTTCTATGCCACCAGTAGCCTCCGGCCGCCTGGACCGGAATCTCCGGAATCTCCGGGATATGGAAGGGAGTATGTAAGGAGCGAAATGGAAATAGAAGTGGGTGTTTTTCCATCAAATGCTGGGATTATCTAAGCATTTTTTAAAGCCTTACTGACTTTCAGATACTTTCAGGGTTTCACACACTGGGACGATGAACACCTAACACACCCAATTGACTTGCAAATTCTTCGGGTGGGTGATCGTTGCTGGATAACGTTAGCCCGCCATCCAAAGCCCAGAGAAGTAGCTGCCTTGTCCGGTTTCCCTTTGCAGCCGTTGGCACCTCCAACCAAGCCTTACTCAGGAAGGAGAGCAGAGTCAATGCTTCTTGGAGATATCATCAGCCTGGCCAACATACACATTGGCGATGAGATTAAATAACAGTATAACTAACATAAGTATCCCCGAAGAAATTTCCACTACAGAAAGGCAGGCCCTGTGCCCCCTACAGATGGTTCTGTAGCATCCATTTTGTAGAAAAATGAGAGGCTGTAGCCTGCTTTTTGTAGGAGATAATAGGTTCATAAAGATCTAATAATAAACGATATGCATTTTGTAGGTTCCTCTTTTGGGCAATTACTTGACGGATTTTGATGGTGGAATTGCATTTTGTAGGCCTCATATTTGCCCACATTCATCTAGTATCATCTAGTGGATTGAGGATGGAAAACATTTTGTAGGACTGGAAAGGCATGGGAGAACACATTTTTGGATGGGAGAACACATTTTGTAGGGCCCGGGTCTTCCAAGCTGCAGCCTGCTGCCTCATCTTAGCCAATTTTGGTTCAATCACGGGTTTTGACTCATTTCTGTTCCAGCCATGCCACCTCCACCGGGGTGTCCTGCAATTTGTCTGGCGACAAAATGTGTTGCGACAGTTCCACCGGCTGCCTGGGATCGGCAAAGGCATTGCTATTGTCACTTGGTGTACATTTGTTCCCCAGAAAAAGTGAAGAACAGTTGGCACATTCTCAAGTGACCTGCGAGCAGCGTCAACATGTATCATTGAATATCATTGATGTTTTTTTGGTATGGTTTGTTTGTGCTGAGGGACAAGTTGCCAGACTCAAGACCTGGGACGTCCCTCATATCACCATATCTACTGGGACACGTTGCTTGGATGAGCAGTTTGCGGCGCTGATGAACATGTTGCAATGAACATGTTGCAAGGAACATTGATGTTTCATGATTTGTCTTGGTTTGAAAGCATTGTAGTTCTAGAATGCTGTTGCTATTTCAAGGAATCCGATATTTTGCTGCCGTGTCCACAAGCCGTTCATTTTGTAGGTACTTCCAGGTGTTCTGACATTTTGTAGTCATCTTAAAGCAGACAAAACTTTGTATTTGGATAAGGTGCACGGTTACTCCATTTCGAAATGGTTATCATTAATTTGAACACTGGAATTTTGCTTTGCAATAGCTGAGGGAAAAAAACAATCAGCATGATTTCTCTGATTTTTTCCATCCCAGGGAGAGCATGAGCTGGACCATGGTTCATGGCATCAGCCGCGCCAAGAAGAAGCAGAAGATTGAAATTTGGTTGCATATGGTTGCATCTTCAGGGAAACTAAAGCTATAGAATGCAAGGGCACCAGACTGGCCTATAAAATGGTCCCTACCCTCTTAAAAATGGAATTTGAATGAATTTGAGGAGGGTCGTATCGAAATTTCATTTTAAAATTCTATTTTTGCAATCATGTTTTCTCAATGATCAATCTTTATCAATATTCCTCATCATTCCATGGCATTGTCAGACGGAAGCAGCACATGTCAGACTATAAAATGCAATGCTTGGGTTACGGCACATTGATGCACACTGGAGTTTCGCATGGTTTATTTCATACGGCTCAAAACCATTCAAAACAAATAGGGACCAGGAGATTGGATTTGCTGGTTAGAAAAGCTCAAAAGCGGCATCGTTGTTGGAGCCATGTGGAGGGTGAGGGCGTTCCTCTTTTTGGCATGCCTGGGGATTGTGGCAGCCAAGCTCCCGAGCTTGAAGGATGACACCACGTGCAGCATCCCAGAAGCACAGCACCCCAGCTGCAGAATAGAGAGCTACAGAATAAAACAACACAATAGGGCTATCTACAGAATGCAATGCCTCCATTTTGCGACCTCCTATCCCAAGAGCTACAGAATAAAACAGCACAATAGGATACAATAAGGTTATCTACAGAATGCAATGCCTCCTTTTTGCGACCTCCTACTTTGAGAACTAAAGAATAAAGCAGCACAATAGGGTTGTCTACAGAATGCAATGCCTCCTTTTTGCAACCTCCTATCCCGATATAAGGTGGTATCAAGTAGAGCTTCACACTGAGCAATTGGCGCAGTGGATGGAGGAGATGGCGACTACATTGCCGCAGATATACCACTGTGTTGACGTTTTCGGTGCATCCGGGAGAATTGTGGACACCTAGATGGATGCTGGGTGGAACGCAATTGGGTTTGACATCAAGATCCATCATTCCCACGATCTGTGCTCAGAAGGCGGAGTGAAGACGCTGCTCAAGATGGGTCTACAGCTCCTTGACTGCACAAATTTTGGGTTTGAATTCAATGGGATTTGGATGGAACGACTTTGGAATCAAAAAACCAAACTGCATGTAGATGATTTTCATTGATTTCCATTTTTCTCTACAGTCCAAAGCAGTCCGAAGCTATGATCAGCAGTCCAAAGCTATGATCTTTGCAAAATTAATTTGAGATTTAGGTAGGGGAACATCTGGACCATCTGTGGCAACGTATCCAGTCACATGGTTTGAAAGCATTGTAGTTCTAGAATGCTGTTGCTATTTCAAGGAATCCGATATTTTGCTGCCGTGTCCACACACCGTTCATTTTGTAGGTACTTCCAGGTGTTCCGACATTTTGTAGACATCTTAAAGCAGACAACATTTTGTATTTGGACATGGTTATCACCAGTTTGAACAGTGGAATTAATCAGCATGACTAAGCATAGAACAACTATGCTCTCTCAACTTGTCTCAACATGTGAAAATTTCTTGAGAACAAGCCAAATAATGGCATGAGGGACGAATATGCACCCCTTTGTGTCCCCCAAGTTCCACCCCAGGTTGATGAATGGTGCCATGCTTGTACTGGCACCTCCGTGTTCCCTTTTTGTACCAGCATGCAGTTCTGTACATCGCAGAACAGTTGCCAATCCAGAAGGAAATCAAGCCGTCCTGAAAGTGCGCTTAGCACAGCGTATTTGGAGAAATATGGATTCTTGGATTATTGGAAAAGTCGATTAGATTTGGGGCCAACCAATTTATAGATCTTTTGCTTGTGCCAGACACATTGTAGTGTGTCGCCTTTGATGGCCCTTGCATTTTGTAGCTTCGGCTCAGGCAGAATGTGTGCACTTGATCTTTCGCTTCAGACCATCTGTTCATTACCTCCTGGAACAGCCAAGCGGGAGCTGGGGACTAAAGCAGCCCTTCATGCTTTCCGTGGCTGCGGCTTTGAACATGTGTCCTGGTGCGCATATATGTTTTCAATGTTTTTCAAATGTTTTTCACAGGTTTTCAATCTTTTCAAGCATTCCGATTTGTAGCTGAGCATCTGTAGGTGGGTGGTGCTTACGTGGATGGGCCTTTTTGGCCACGATTTGGCCAAGTGTAGCCACCTACAAACGAACAGCAGGCCTGAATGTGCTTGAAACATCTTGAAACATGTAAGCCTTTGGTGGGTTCCCAGAGCCATAGATGTCCTTTTCCCATTGGCTGGTTGATGAATAGAGGGGTTTGAAACCCCGTTAACAACAAGAATCAACAAGTAAATGATGATAGATGGTATACCAAACCGGTTTTTCTATTTTTACCAAAAGGACGGTATTGCCCAGAGCTTGTGTTCCCTGCTAGGTGCATGGAAGTATTGAGGAGAAACTGCACGAAAAAACAACGCCAAGACATCAAAAAGCGCTTCAGGAGGCGTCAGGCAAACAGGACCAACAAGAAGGCCTGGCACCCTACAAAATGCAATGCCTGTAGGATTGCGCTACAAAAAGAGAGCTTAGGGAACATGTATGAATATTTATGAATATGTATGAATATGCATGGATTGTTAATCTTGGAAAATCTGAGCCGAAATAAAACACCCGTACAATCCCCTGCATTCTTTTGCATTGTTGCGTTTGGCGAGCCAGGTCTACCATCAGAAGACTGTTTCCAAGAAAGGAAAGAAGGGTTGGCAGGGTGGAAAAGACTTGGCGTCATCGGCCCTGTGGACTTGGTCGTTTTGTCTGGCAGTGCTGCACGCATGGGAAAATCGTGGTGCGGCAGATGTGAATGAACATCGAACTATTTCTGATGAACCAGCTGAATCCTTGGCTGATCATTCCCACGATAGCCCAAGAATTGTGGGTGAGCTAGTGGTCATTCATGACACTGATGTTGATACGGAGCAGGGTGAACAGTGAAGGAGCATGAATATGCACACTGTAACCCTCGCAGTCGCACCAAGGTGCTTTAGTATGTCAAGTGAATGGTGTCATTGTCGTTTGCACAAACTCCGTGCTGTGAGACATGGCAGATCAGCATGAGAAACGAAAAAGTGCAAAGATGTGAGCATCATGCAGATAAAAGTTGAATAATTTTCAATAATTTTCATATGTTTCCATCAGACCATCGCGTTTTACCGAGGAGAAGACGGAAGAGCAAGCAATCCAGGAGCATGGGGGGCCCCTGCATTTGCCTGCGCATTCAGCTTCCGGTTCAGCAGCTCGGCATTGCATTCTATAGTTTCTAGTTGATTGTAGATGAGCTGATAGAATAAGGATGAATAAGGATCAATTTGGAGCAATAACATGCAAATCCATGCAAACTCGGTGATTGTGAGTTCCAGTGAAACATGTTTAAAAGGTTTAACTTCTTCCCACCAAGGTACACGCCTTGAGCGCACCTGCAGATGCAAACGCTGCTCCAGACATTCCAGTGCCTTGGCTTGACCACTGGATACTGGGGGTAGCTGTGCAGAGGCATTTTGTAGCATGTACCATTCGAGCATTAGACCTTGTAAAAAACGTATGTAATATATATATATACACATATATATAAATAAATGATGTTTGGATATGGGAACCTTTATATATATATACACATACAAACATATTATCATGATGTTTTGTACTATTTTGGGAATATTTAATCCCTGGAATGAACCTATTTGAGCTGCCTTGTTGCTCCTTGATTTAGGGCAGTGGTGCATGGCATTTTATAACTATAAATTGTGAGCAGGACATTTTGTAGTCACATAGGATTTGTTTGGCAACCGGAACTGATGCACGGTCACACATGAAAGCTGCTTGGCCCAAGTCGATTCAACCCATATTGACGGGACACTTACCTTTCATCATGCAGCTTCA